TGATCATCCAACAAGATCCATTTTTTTATTTCCTCTCTCCAAAAAGTGCGTTTTTGCGTCGTTATGTTGTCATTGAATCCGATTAATTAGCGGCGAACTAATTACCCCGCTGGCTACTATAATACTTTTTTTTTATCTTCCATCGGGTCAATAAATCTTTTTTGAGCTCCAATCTGACTCTGTTATTATGTTATGCAACACAACAATTAATTTTTGGATTGCACTGTGCAAAATTATAATTATTTTTTCGCACTGTGCAGTCAGAAAAATTTTTTTTCTACCGCACAGTGCAGTTTCAAAACTTTTTGTGTGCACTGTGCGAAGAAATATTTTTTTCGTTTTTTTCGCACTGTGCAGTGTTCAGAAAGTTTCCACTGCACTGTGCGATGACAATTTTTGTTTTCTGCACTGTGCAAAAGAAACGCGACAAACTTTCCGTATGCACTGTGCAAAAAAAACCTTTTTTTTTGCACTGTGCAGTCACAAAACGCTTTTTTCTATCGCACCGTGCAGTTTGAAGAATTTTGTTTTTTGTTTTCACTGTGCAAAAGAAACGCGACAAACCTTCCGTTTGGACTGTGCGAAAAAAAATCCGTTTGGTTTTTTGTTTTCTGCACTGTGCAAAAGAAACGCGACAAACCTTCCGTTTGGACTGTGCGAAAAAAATCCGTTTGGTTTTTTGTTTTCTGCACTGTGCAAAAGAAACGCGACAAACTTTCTCGTTTGCACTGTGCAAAAAAAACCATTTTTTTTTGTTTTTTCGCACTGTGCAGTCTGCAATTTTTTCCACCGCACCGTGCAGTTTGAATTATTTTGTTTTTTTGTTTTCCGCACTGTGCAAAAGAAACGCGACAAACCTTCCGTTTGCACTGTGCAAAAAAATATTTTTTTTTGTTTTTTCGCACTGTGCAGTTTTCAAACGAAGTTTCCACTGCACAGTGCGATGACAATTTTTGATTTCCTTCCTGCACTGTGCAAAAAAATGGCCGCGTCAAACTTTGAATTTTTGCACTGTGCGAAAAAAAAGTTTCTCCTTTTTTCGCACAGTGCAAATTGAATTTTCATTTCTGCCTCTCTGCACTGTGCAGCAAAACCGGGAACAGCCTTCTTTTGCACTGTGCAAAAATTTTTTAAATTGCACAGTGCGGCGGAAAATTAAAAATTAATTTTTTTGATCTATTGTTCCTGAGGCAACAAAATTTAAAATTTTTATTTGAGACGTTCAAAAATGAATATTCATCAGGTGAAAAGAGAGGGAGAAGGGGGAAGAATGTTGTTTTTGCTTGTCTTTTATCTCATTTTATCCCATTTTTATCGCTCGCGGCAAGTTTTTCGATGAGTTTTTTTGGAGGATATCAGGGGAAGTGTGGTTTTGAACATAAAGCTTTTTTCATTTTTGTCGGCGATATTTTACAATTGGATAATTTCCTGATGATTATCTCACAAAAAAGTTTCAAAAGTAAAAATATGACTTGAATTACCAAAAAATAGGTTCTGTTATGTCATATCTTACGTATTTTAACAATTTTTAAATTATTTTTTTTTGTCATAATTTTTCTCAAAAATATGATAAAGACTTAGTATTTAGAGTAAGAAGTCGAAACCCAACTCTATTTAACGTATTTTGCACTTACTTTTTTACGGTTTCTAGCGATAGAACTTATTTTTTGCACAGTGCAATTTCATAGTGCAAATAAGCCTATGAAATTGCACTGTGTTAAAAAATGGATTTATGAGTAAAATACGGATTCTATAGCTATACAAATTGATTATACAGACTTTTTACTGACATTCAATCAAGGCTTTTGATTTTTTTTATTTGAAATTTTTTTTATTTAAAAATTTTGAATTATTTTTAAAAATTTTGATTGATTTTACTCAAATATACTCAAATATAAGAGTAAAACGTCGTATTTTAGGGTAATTTTTTATAATCATTACGTTCCACGTATTTTACACTGATTTTTTTATGTTTTTGCTATACAAACATTTTTTGCACAGTGCAATTTCGTAGTGCAAAAAAGCCTATGAAATCGCACTGTGCGAAAAAAAAGTTTATGGGTAAAATACGTATTATACATGTACACTGTTTTTAATACAGACTTTTTACTGACATTCTTAGTCATGATATTTTAATTTGTTAAACATTTTTTTTCACTTTAGAAATTTTTGATAAATAATTTTTATCAAACTTTTACTCAAAGATACGAAAAAACGTCATCTTTCAGGATAGCATTTTTGAGTTCAATGTATACCCGTATTTTACCCTTATTTTTTTACGTTTTTCGGACATACGAGTAATTTTTCGCACAGTGCAATTTCATAGTTCAAAAAAGCCTACGAAATTGCACTGTGCGAAAAAAGGGATTTATGGGTAAAATACGCATGATCTTTTCAATTGTTCGATTATACAAGCTCTCTTGCTCTTCTTAGACTGTATTTCTTTGTATTTTTACCAAGAAAACCCGACGCAACCAGTGGTTTTTACTGACTCATCCCCGGTTTTATGTGAATTGCTCTCTTCTCACTTACTTTTCTCCATATTCCTCGTTGCGTAACTAGTCGGTAATTCCGCCGACGCCATTGTGATTTATTCCACTTTATATTTGAGTGGATTTTGTGGGGATTTGGGGGGCTGAAAATTGAGATTTTTACTATATAATACAGGGTGTACCAAAAAAATGGAAACTTGTTTTTATAGCTATATTTTTTCGGAGAATCAAAATTCAGCAAAAGTAACGGTCATGATTGGTAACATAGAGCATTGTTTATAACATATTCAATCTGTTTCACAGTGGCTGCCTTTGCTGGCGATAGAGAGCTCCAAACGTGACGTAAAATTTTGGGGTCCGGGCCGCAGCTTTTTAAAGGGGAAATCGGTCCCGTTCTTGGCGCATCATTTACTTTGCGACTCCAAACTTTTGTGGAGCATAGTACAGGTGCTGGCCTTCTATTTAAAAAAATATATAGTCCATTGGATTCAGATCTGGCGAGCAGGTGGTCATTTCGCAGGCGGGATAAAATCGGGAAAATCGGTCCCATTTCGGGTCCTGAGTCGATTTTGCCTTGTGAGCCGGCGCTGAGTCCTGTTGAAACGCCAAGTTTGCATTGCCAAGGTTCTGCTGAGCTCACGGAAGCACGACAAAATAGAAATTAACGCGGCGCTAGTATTTTGTCCCATTTATTCACGAAAAACATGGAATTCTTGCCGCTGGCACAAATTCCGCCTTAAGCAATGACGACCCGGATTTTGGTGGTATTTGACGATGGCCAACAGGCTAGGAGCCTCATTGGAGCAGATTCTATCATTCCGGTGGTTGTGTATCCGCTAAATATTGAACCGCGAACTGAATGCGCTCACGTCTCGGAGCTGCGGCCCACCCCTTTCACTTTCCGACATTTTTGCGCTGTACGCACTTTCTCTCGACTTTAAAGATCTGAATTTTTTAGAGCTTGTATGACATGAGGTTGAGCTCGATTTGACTATTCGGCCGAGCGATCGGTCGCTGATGTCAGTCTCAAGGGCAAGTTTTTCTTGAAAATCGCGGATTTTGCTGTGGGGGATCTTTCGGTTGAAAGCAGCGCTGGCGGTGCGTTTTCTTTCACTTCCTGGGCGCTTACTATCCGTATCAAGCTCCTTGGGCCTCGTGATTACTTTCGACACAACGTTCTTTCTATACCGAGCAAATTAACTGTTCGAACAGCTCCAAAAACAAGTCCAAAATCGAGGTCCATTTGTTTGAAGTTCAAAAAAGACAGGTGGATTAATCGATATGGGAGTAAAAATCAAAACATTAGGACAGAAAAACACAGAGAATTTTGTAGTAATAAACTTTTTTGGCTGCACCGAACCATGTTCGCGTCAGGACAAATGAAAAAAAGTTTCCATTTTTTTGGTACACCCTGTATTTTATGGGATTTTTTAGGAAAAATAATAATTTTTTTTGAAGAAATTAGGCTCGAAATAATTTTAAAAAGAATTTAGATTATAATTCATAGCCAAATCAATTTTTCACTTTGTGTTTTTCACGTATTTTACCATACATTTTATTTTTTTTATATGTTTTGCAAAAAATTTGGTTTCTATAAAAAGAAAACGGATTTTTCACTTAAAAATAACAACAATCAGAATTTTATACCGTATTTTACATTAGTTTTCCCAATAATTTTATGTTTTTCAGATATTTTTCCCAATTTTTTTAAAATTTTTTTACCGTAAATACAATTTAAATTTCTCCTTTTAAGCTCTAAGTTGTCCTAAAATCATTAAAATCCCATTTCCATCCTTTTCCGAACTTTGTTAAACCATTTTTCCCCCTAAAATCGGAGCATTTTTACGAAAAGATCAGATAACAGTTGATTTCTCTTTCCCTTTGAAACCCGGCGAAAAAGAAGAGAGAGAGAAGTGTGTTCCGTTGTGGTCTAGTGGTTAGGATTTGTGGCTCTCACCCACAAGGCCCGGGTTCGATTCCCGGCAACGGAAGAAAAGTTTTTTGGAATTTTTAATGAAAAAACTGGGTAATTACTTGATAAAACAATGTGTTGCACTAAAAAAATTTTGTGTTATGAGAAGTATTTGCTCTTTCTAAGGTATTTTTTGGTCGAAAATTGAGAAAAAGTCGAATTTTTTGCTAATTTTTGGAGTTTTTATTATTTTTTTTGTAGAAAAATATGTATTTTTAATTAGTAATTGGTAAAATACGTTTTTTATAGGTTTGTCTTTTACAATAAAGAAATTTACAACATTTTATCAACAATTTTTACTGCTGTTTTTTTCAATTTTTTAAAATTTTTTGATTTTTCCTCCATTTTTTTTTATATTTTTTCGAAAAAATTAAATTAATCTTCCTTTCCGATTGTTTATTTACAATTCTTCTGTTTTTTTCACATAATTGGCCCCTAAAATCAGTGTTTCAGACCGTTCGAGGACTTGTAAAATTGAAATCAATTACTCTTTTCCCCTTTTCTTTTCCAACTGATTACTTCAACTCGTTGCAGGAATGACAGCGACCCAAATGAGTATCCCAGGAGTCGGCAGGATACGAGACAACATCTTTTTGAGGGTGAGAAAATGAGATTTTTTGAAAATTTGGAGGATTTTTTTTAAAAAAAAAAAAAGAAAATTATTTTTTTTTTTAATTTTTATATATAAAGAGCGTAAATTTCTTCATTTTTCAGAATGACTATCAAATCCGATCTTCCTCCAATCCAAACCGGCGATCTTACGGTAAGTTAATTTTTCGCACCGTGCGGTCGGAAAAAGTTGTCCGTTGCACCGTGCAAAAGAATTTTTTATGGATTTTATGCCTTTTACACAAATTATAGACAATTATAAGTTCCCTGATTTGTAAAATACGAAAGTCATTTAAAAATTATAATGATTTTTTGGAGTTCAAAATTTTGCACTGTGCGATCAAAAAAACTTGTCATTGCACTGTGCAAATGACAAAATTTTTACTGTTGTTGCAATTGTTATGATGTATTAGGATTCAGTGATTGATATAAATGTAAAATACGACTATGATTTTTCTTTTGTCATGTTTTTTTAATTAAATTTTTGTTTTGCACAGTGCATTTTAAAAAAGAAAGTTTTATTGCACTGTGCAGAAAAAATTAAATTTTTTTGTAAGCTACAGTAATCCCCAGGCCATTTTACTTTTCTTATTTTAAATTTTAGCCGGTTCCACGGCCCTGTCGTCCTCAAAATCCGCAAATGAATTTCCGCGTTCATCAAATATCGACAAACCTTGCCGTAACACCTACCTCAAGCAGTCAATCTCGTCAAATGGGATTGTAAATCAACAAGCAAACTCTCCACTCCTCAGAGGTTGGTTTGAAATAATTTTTGAAGTTTCTAAAATACGAAAATTTTAAGTTCTAAATCTGGTGCCTATCTTGGGAAAAATGTAAAAAATTGTGCAAATTAGGTGGAAATTTAGAGAAAATACTCAGAATTTTTTATCTTAGCATCTATTTTTATGTTAGCGACCATTTTTTATATCTTTGGCTTTTCTAAAATACGAAAAAATCAATTTTTAAATCTGATGACATTATTAAAAAAAATGTAAAATACGATTTGAAAACTCGTTTTTATGTATTAAAAATTATTTATATTGCTATATTAGACCACTATTTACATTGTAAACAATCTTTTACTTTCTGATTTTTCAATTCTTTGTGATTTCCGAGCCTTCGTATAAAATGTCCCCCCTCTTCTTTCATGGTATTGTAATATGTTTGAATAACGTATAGTGAGGAATGGGAATTGGGGTGAGTCAAGCATGTGAACAGCAATCTCCCCTTCGACTGTATTGTCTTTCCAGAAATAGTAATGCATCGTTTTTTTTGAAATTTTTTAGGAGATTTTGATTTAAAGTACTATAATTTTGAATCATAGGTGTATCGTGAGTTTTAATATATTTTTTAATCGGTTTAATTTTTCCTTAACCACGATTTTTTTTATTTCTGGGGAAGCCTTTGGACTGTGCTGAAAAAATAAAAATTTGCACTGTGCGGTCAAAAAAATTGAGTAAAATACGATAAAACGACGTGATTTTTTTTCTGATTCTTGTAAAATACGATTAATTCATTTTTTTGCCAGTTCCCAGATTTTTTTGATTGCACCCTAAGGTGATTTTCTTGACTTTTTGCAAGCTTAATTTAGTTTTATTTGGCGGCGTGGCCGGTTCTGGATCGTCTAATTCCGACATACTCCTTAGGTCTTTATTAGATATACCAAAATGCAAAATACAATAATAAACATAAAATAGAACCCCAAAACCACGGAGTGCCCCTTGGCCCCATCCTGTCGGAGGGCCTAGATATGCGATCCGAGGGTCACCTCACTCTGACCTCTCGGTCACATCGACTGGCCAACCGATCGGGCATTCGCCTCGATCGGGCCGTTGATCTAGTTTCAAGATCGAGGAAAGGGGCGGAGTCTGAACCCTTAACTCCTCCGGGCATTTTAGAAATTGCTTGTCCTCAAGCAATATATACGGGTATTATATGTGACAAGACGAGCTCTTTCTTGAGCACTTATTATATCCCAAATATATAGACTAGGGACAATGAAAATTGGTAGTAAGACGAGAGTAAATCTTAACAATGTGTAATAAATATACGTGACATCGTTATCCGAAATGTTCCGATGAAATTCCTTGATGACGCTGAACTGAGGGCTAGCTGGCTGGCTGGCGGTGCTTCGATCGGTCACCATCGGTCTGGTATGTTTGCTGTTGAATTCAGTTGTCGATGAAATGGGTCGAGTAGTTTTCCAACGTTCCTTTCTGCGGGGCTTTTGGAAAATCATCGTCCTCGATGATTCAACAACTTCTTCCACTTTCTCTGCGTTTAAACCTAACTATAAGGAAAACAGCTGGTGGTTCTTGGATGAAGATTTACTTTTCTCCAATAACTCTACCGCTGAAGTAAATTTTGGCATCTTCACTTTCTTTCTTTGGTCTGTTATGAAACACAAGCTAGAAATGGATCCAAGTTCAATCAGCACACATGTTTGCAAGTGTAGGTGGAACTTGTCGCAATCGGTTGCTTAAAATTGCGAAACCAAGACCACTTGATTTATAAATCTGAGTTTCCGCTTTTGGACATTTTACAACGCACCGGTTCCGGGGAAACGCTTGAGGTTGTTGTGCCAAAGGGTTACTAACGATTTGTTTTTTATCCATGACCCAATTGATTGTCTTTATCTGGTTTTTTGACGAATTATTTTGTCATGAAACACAGAACAGACGCATCAACTAGAATTCTCTGTGCTATGCGGACCATTGTTCATGTATTCGAAACTGACACAGGGCGTCCTCAAAGGTCGCACGCCGTTCAGCGGGAACAGTCTTGATGTAACGTCGGGCTTGTCCGTCCTTTCGCATTATCTCGGTCAGATTACTGCACCGAATGAGGCCAGAAATCTTCATGGCCAAATTGCTGATTCTGGCCAAGCCGGCTGAAGCCGTGCTCGACTCGAGATTCCAACTGTCGGCCCCTTCTAAAAATGGACCGATAGATGGCGCTCTTATAGCTTGCCTCTTTCTCGGTCGTGAAGACCGGGGGCAGCGGATCGTCAATTTCAATTTTAAATTTAGAATTCATGACTACACGGATAAAATTTTTTTGGATTTTTTTTTTGATAGATACTAACTACACTAAAGAGAAAAGAATAGACTCAGAAAAATAAACAACAGTGAACCTGAAAAACCTACGAACTCAATAGCTCAACTATGTGCAGCAAGCTACCTACTATCAAACTGGGTTTAATAAATAGTTCACTTACCTGGAGTTTCTTGAGGGTATGGTTTCCTTGGGAGCTGATGATATGAAGTCACGTTCCACGTTGGTGAGTAGATGTGGCCATTCTCCTGAGCCTTCCTCTTCTTTGGCCTTCCTTGTGGGCGTGTCAACCGATAGGTCAACTCACCGTCTGGTGGCCAGGTCGCGTCTTTGGCCTTACGGATTAATGACTTAACGGGCCGCGACCGTCTTTTACAACCCCAGCAGAGGGCAACTGCTGTTGCGCTGCCTCTCTGTCGTAAATCGGGCGAATGGCTCGCCAAGTGGCGACCCAATTTTACTACGGGCAGAGGGTACCTGAATTTACAGCGCCTCTCTGTCGTAAATACTGACAGAAATTTTGTCGACCAGATGCGGCTGGCCAGGGACACTACCGTAGGATAAAGAAAATTTAGAAATTAAAGGTATATCTAACTAAACCTAAGAAATATGAACATCTACAACCCATCCCATGACCGGTTGGGATCTAGCGAAACGAGGCCCCATTTAGAAACCGCCATAGACCGGCATTCCGGACTGCCGGCTATAATAACGGCCTCATCCCCCCCGCTCTCTACGTGGCTGGAGGAGCTACCGTTGAGGACAGCTACTGTCTCGACAATGGTCGAGAGCCGCGAAGACTAACTGAAGACCTCGCAACCTAGTCATCTTCCAACCGGGCTGGGTTACCTAGAGTTGCGATGTGGAATAGACGGAACCACTCTGAGCTACCAGTTTTATTTGGCAGTGTGGCCGGTTCTGGATCGTCTAATTCCGACATACTCCTTAGGTCTTTATTAGATATACCAAAATGCAAAATACAATAATAAACATAAAATAGAACCCCAAAACCACGGAGTGCCCCTTGGCCCCATCCTGTCGGAGGGCCTAGATATGCGATCCGAGGGTCACCTCACTCTGACCTCTCGGTCACATCGACTGGCCAACCGATCGGGCATTCGCCTCGATCGGGCCGTTGATCTAGTTTCAAGATCGAGGAAAGGGGCGGAGTCTGAACCCTTAACTATTTTTTGCACAGTGCAATTGAAAAATTGAGTGAAAATCAACACTAAAACGGCAAAAGCAAAAATTAAAATTTGTAAAATACGACCTCTGGAGCTATATGGCGGTGTTTTAACTATTTTATTTTTAGCCCTACGGAAATTTCCTCCAAAAAACAAAGATAAAATTTTGCACTGTGCAGTTGAATGATTGGGTGGAATTCATAATAAAACTGCCGCAAATCAAAAAAAAATTGTAAAATACGACGCCTGTAATCAGTTCCGGTTTTTTACGCCTTTTTATATTTCTAGCCTAAGGCAATTTCGCACACAAAAAGCAAAAAAATTTTTGCACTGTGCGAAAAATCAAACCTCAAAAATCACACCGTGCGGTAAAAAATAACTATCCAGAAGATTAAGAAATCTCATCTCTGGTCACTCACCATCCCCCCTCAGGTTAATTCGAGTTCAAGCTCGCGCGCTTCCCACTCCAAATTCTCGGCTGTTCTAGTTGCACTGTGCAGCAGACGGAAGTGATTAGCGCGCGAAATTATTAACAGTTTTTCTGCGGATCTTCCGGTCTGCGGTTTGGAGGGGGGTTTACAAGTCGCCACAACTATTTTTGTGTAGTCGGGGTTTCAGTTTTATGGGGATTTTTGGGATTTTTTGAAAAAAAAAATTTTTTTGAAATTTTGAATTTTTATGAATGAAAATATTTAAAAAATAGTTATTGTAGTGAGGTCTACATGACATTCAGGCCTTTTGGGAGATTTTTTTTTCTAAAATACGACCAGTAAAATGTAGCCTTTTTTGAATTTTTTAAGGTTTTTTTTTAATTTTTGCTTTATTACAAAAAATTTTGCTCTTCAAAACCTTCATAAAGCGAAAGTTACCCGTATTTTACCCAAATTTCTTTAAAAAAATCCTAATTTTCCTCAAAAACCTCAGAAACGGTCCAAAAAAAGTAATTTCCTCAAAAACTATACGATATTCATTAGCAAAGTCGATCGCATTTCGGATATGAGAGAAGAAAGCAGTCTATTCAACGGGCGTTGTAGCGGAATTATCATCGCATCCCACTAATTTTATGATCCCACTTTTGGGGCGATACTCTTCCTTTTTTGTGACTTTCTTACTTTCCCCATTACTTGTAGCTGGTCGGGGTGTCCGATTTTCCATCTTTCGGACAGCTCCTTCTCCCCAGAATCAGAGAATCTTATTTTTTTAATCTTTTCCAAAAATTCGGTAATTTTCAGAAAATCCGTCATCATGACGTGATTAAATTTGATTGACAAACGTTTAGATTTTTTATTGAGTACCATTAAGTATAATTGAAAAGAAATTCTATTCAGTTTTTCCGGAAATGGTGGGAATGATGACGTCATCATGACGGATTTTCTGGAATTTTGCTTTGATGACCGTATTTTTGAGAAATCTGAAAATTTTCTTTTTGAATACTACTAATAGTATTGAAAGCGCATTGTGAGATTTTTGCGATACTTTTATGAGCTCATCTAACTGTGTCATCATGACGGATTTTCTGGAAATTTGCTCTAATGAAGATAATTTTGAGAAATCTGTGAATTTTCGCTTTGAATATAGCTAATAGTACCTGAAATCGCACTGTAAGATTTTTGCGACACTTGTATGAGCTCATCTAACTGTGTCATCATGACGGTTTTTCTGGAAATTCCTTGTAATCGCTGAATTATCGCTAAATTTTGCGATTTTTTGGGTTAAAAGATGTTAGTAGGTACCTTGAAAAAGCGATTATTAATTTTTATTATCTTTTTTTCCATTTTATTATGTCATAATGACGGATTTTTTGGAAATCTTCAAATTGTTTTTTCCAAAAAATCTCAAAGTCTCAACCCGAAACCTCATAAATAAGCGGGCCAAACACCGCCGAAACATCCGAAAATATCTGTTCCCAGGCCCTGCGGCCATCCGATCCATCTTATATTCTCCATAGCAAAGACCGGGATTATTAAAATCATCGAAATTGGATCTTGTTTTTGGATCGGTCACTCCCCACTCCCCACCTCCATCATCTCCCCCCAATATAATTCTCGCGGTTCACAGCCCGCTCCCCTCCTCCTCCTCCACCTTCCTTCCACATGTCCACCAAATGTCTCAAATAATTTTATTGCCGCAATCGCTGCCGGAAGAATTGAATGTGGAGGAGGAGAGGCGATTCGAGAGGCTCGAGAGCTAAAGGAAGAAAAAATAATATTTTGAATACCTAAAAACAGCGGTTTTTTGTCGATTTTTTGGCAAAAAATCATCAATTTTCTTATTTTGAAAAAGTTTTTATGGAGTTTTAGAATTTTTTAAGTCTCTAAAATACGCCAAAAAATATTTTAATTTTAATATTCATTTTTTGTCGGCGTATTTTACATTATTTTACCGATTTTAGGCAAAAAAATCATCAATTTTCTTATTTTAAAAAAAATTTTTTTTTGGAGTTTTAGAAATTTTTAAGTCTCTAAAATACGCCTAAAAGTATTATAATTTTAATCTTCATTTTTTTGTCGGCGTATTTTACATTATTTTACCGATTTTAGGCAAAAATTCATTATTTTTCAAATTTTTTTTTCGATTTTAGTGAATTTAACCAATCATTATGACATTTTATAGGCTCAATTACCGGATCAAGCTGATATTCAAAAAAATTCTTTGAAGTTTTACTCGTATTTTACCTTTTTTCCGCAATTTTCCCCAATTTTGCCGGATTTTTCGCCAAAAAATTGAATTTCGTCCAAAAAATCGCAAAATAAAATTCCCCAAAAAATTTGTTAACGCTCGGAATCATCAAACTACAGCTTGTTACAAAATTTTCCGTTAAAATTTCGTCGCAAAAAGTGAGCGAAAAGCCCACCTAGCCGTCGAAATTTTGATGCCTTTTTTTCTTTGAATTCGTTTCATAAATTTGTGTCGGAATAATGGGATCGCGCAATACGCCTTTCTTCTCGTGTCGCAATGGCTTCCTTCAAAGTTTATTTGGGATTTGGGGGCAGCCTTTTCATGTTTTTCCAGACGTTTTTTTATTGCACAGTGCAGATTTCTAATTCTTCCGTAGTGCTGAGAATTTGGGGAATTTTGGAGAGTCGACTGGTCGATAATTTTTCTAAAGGTGTTAAATTTTCTTGGAATGTGAAAAAAATTTTTTTGCCCATATTCCGTTGCGATACGACAGATTCTTTCAACTGACAGTGCAAATTTTAAAATAGCCATTTTTTGACAAATCGACTGGTCGATTTTTTTGAAAATGGGAAAATATACTCGAGATGGGTCCTATATTCGATTTCAAAACCGGGTTTTTCAAGATTTGTGATATTGTTGCCTTGGGGCATTTTTTTATTTTTTGCACAGTGCAAATTTCAAACCAGTCATTTTTTGACGAATCGACCGGTCGATTTTTTTGAAAATCGTAAGGCATACTCTAGATGGGCTCTATCTTCGATTTCAGTGCTGAGTTTTTCAAAATTTATGATATTATTGCCTCAGGGTATTTTTTATTTCTTGCACAGTGCAAATTTTTCAACATGAAAATTTCAGTGTTTAGTCAAAAGACATAAAATTTTGCGTTATTTTACATTACTGAGGGCAGTTAGACCTTTTTGGATTGTATTTTACCCCCGAATTAATACTCCTTCTCTTAAAAATAGCAAAAATTCCCTTCGCACTGTGCACTCGCCCCCAAAAAGGTTTAAATTTCGCGTCGAAAGGGTTTGAACGGCCAGATGAGACCTACAAATCCGCCGGGGGCCAAGTGAAAACGTGTTGCGCAACCTTTTTCCCTCCCCACATTACGCAGACGAGAGTTGTTTGTCAAAAAGCGAGTGGCCGCACAGTGCGAGAAAAAGTTTGGTCCACTCGAGAAATCAGTGCGGGGCGAATCTCAAGGGCTTTGCGATGGCCGAGGGATGAGTGTGGACAACATATTGTAAATGATATTGTTTTCCGTTGGTTTTTAGTCATCGGATCTGCGTCGTATCCGTGCGATTTTGGTGCATTTTTATTATATTTGAATTGTTTTGTTGCTTTATGATGCATGATGTGTAATATTGAACTCTTTGTAAGAATACTGACCGTATTTTACCCAATTTTTCCTCTTAAAAATCTCGTTTTTGGCAATTTTTTTATTTTCGCACCGTGCAGAACAAACTTCATCTCTTTTTGCACCGTGCAGACAATCTTGTTGGTATTTTGCACTGTGCAGTCAAACAAACTTGAACAATTTCCCATTTGCACTGTGCAAGTCCCCCTTTTCACTTTTTCTCCGCACAGTGCAAAACCAGCGATGAACCTTGTCGCTCATTTTGCACTGTGCAGTCAAACAAACTTGAACAATTTCTCACTTGCACTGTGCAAGTCCCCTTTTTCATTTTTTCTCCGCACAGTGCAAAACCAGCGATGAACCTTGTCGCTCGCTGTGCACTGTGCATTCAAAAGACTCAAACTTTCTTTTGCACTGTGCAGTCAAAAAACTTGAACAATTTTTCATTTGCACTGTGCAAGTCCTCTTTTTTATTTTTTCTCCGCACAGTGCAAAACCAGCGATAAAGCTTGTCGCTCAATTTGCACTGTGCATTTTATTCAAATTTTCTTCGCACAGTGCAGATTTTAATTTCATGTTTTCTCGCACAGTGCAGTCCAATTTTGACATTTTTTCTCGACTGCACAGTGCAAAACCAACGATAAAACTTGTCGCTCGATTTGCACTGTGCAATTTCTTCGAATTTTTCTTCGCACAGTGCAGATTTTAATTTCATATTTTGTCGCACAGTGCAATGCGAATTTCTCTTTCCTTTCCTTCGCACTGTGCGGTCTCCCTTTCATTTTCGTATAGGAAAATTCGCTTCTTGGACGGTATAAAGAGCCGGGGATCCGACATTTTCGTATACATCTTCTCACGTAAAGCGATTTTATTGGCTTCCCATTCACTGCTCTTCGCCTTCTTCCGTGTTCTGACGGAATGTTGTTACCTCAAAGGGGGGATTAATTACCCTCTCGAACATCGCTAAATCACCCCATTTTTAGGTAGCGACGGATTTACGAAGACTTTTTTGGGGGAGGGGAATGGAAAAAAATTTGCATTTTTGAGGGAGAGTTGAAGAAAAATTGTCCGAAAAAATATACTACGACGTATTTTACTGAATATTTTTTTAAAATTTTTCAAAAAAAATCGCTTTTTCCCCCATTTCGAGGACAAAAAATCGAATTTTTTTATTCGCACCGTGCAATAAAGAAACTTGCACAGTGCGAAGAAAAAGAAAATCGAATTCCTTTTCGAAGATTGCACCGTGCAACACTTATCTGTTTTGCACAGTGCGGCAGATCTTTTGTTTATTCCGACCGCACAGTGCAGCAGCGACGGACGTTGCACAGTGCGGGAAGAAGATTTTTTTTCTCTTTTTTGCACAGTGCAAAAAAATTTTTCACGTCGCGGACCTTCGAACTGCACGGTGCATCCGCGACAACGTTTGCACCGTGCGGAAAATTGCTTATTTTTTGTTGCACCGTGCAAGAAGTTAATAAAAATTGATTGCACTGTGCGAAACAGCGTTCCCTTTTTCATTACACAGTGCAAAATGTGTGAAAAATGATTGCACTCTGGAACTGCACGGTGCATCCGCGACAACGTTTGCACTGTGCGGAAAATCGTTATTTTTTCGTTGCAAAAAAAAAAAAATATAAAAAAAATTGATTGCACTGTGCGAAAAATTTGGTCTTTTTTTGTTGCACCGTGCAAAAAATATGGAAAGTTGATTGCACTGTGCGAAAAACTGTTTGTTTTTTCATTGCACCGTGCAACGAAATTAATAAAAATTGATTGCACTGTGCGAAAAATAGTATGTTTTTTCGTTGCACTGTGCGGAAAATCTCGTCTTTTTTCTGCACAGTGCAAACATTTTTTTTACAAAACGCAAATGGCTGTATGAACGTCGTAAATCAGGTCGTATTCCCGCAATAATCTCCATAATTTCTCGCGCATTAAGACGTTTTTCCCTCCCATCGAGATCTTTATAAACATGTTCGGTCTTTGTGTTTGATTGATGACGGGGAAATCGGATATTTTTCGCCCAAAGATTTTGTAACTTTACGCCCGGCTTTTTCTCTTCGGTTTATCGGTCATTACAGGGGATTTCCGACTATATACTACTCGATTTTGCATAGGAATGAGGGATTTTTTTGGAAAATTTTTTTATATTTTTGGATAAAAATGGGATTTTTAGGGCTTGAAAAAAATTGCAGTCGTATTTTAGGATGCAAAAAGAATTTTTTCACTTTAAAATTTAACATTTTTTCGGGTTTTACTATTTTTTGACCAAAAATCCTATTTTTTTGACTTTAACCGCTCATATCTCGGTGGTTTCTGCATAACGCGGTCTGAATTTTTTTATGGCATCTTTAAAAATCGCACTTTTCATTTACCCTAAATTTTACCAAAATCCGAAGCAAAAATTTTTTTATTATTTTTTTATTTTTTCTAATTTTTTCGATCAAAAATCGGTTTTTTAGTCATCAAAAACAAATTTTAATTCTGATTTTCTCCCAAAAAAATTCACGTGCCCTCAAAAAATCATTCATTTACAGCGTTTTTCCTCATGATTTTCCATTTTCCCGTCATTAAACTCATCCCCGAAACGTTTTTGTATCCCCAAAAAATATTCGAAATGCATTGGGATGGTCGTAAAATCGCCGAGAGCTTTTTTCAGCCAATGTATATTACTTTATATCCCGATTTTTTTTGTTTCGGCTCGCTTTTGTAATTTTCCCCGCGTTTTTTATTGTTCTCTTCAAGCTTCTTCGATGAATAATCGCCATCTTTCCGCTTTTGGAGAAAGATTTTTGGAAAAAAAAAAATTTTTTTCGCACTGTGCGATTGAATTTTCGAAAAAATTTTTTTGCACGGTGCAGAAATTTATTTTTGTTTTTGGCGCACAGTGCAAGTTCGGGTTTCATTCCGCGACAAATTTTTGCACAGTGCAGTTTCAAAACAATGTTTGCACAGTGCAGAAATTTATTTTCTATTTTGCACTGTGCAAATCAATCCTTTCTTTTTGCGACAAATCATTGCACAGTGCAGTCTCCAAAAACTTCTTTGCACTGTGCAAAATTTCAAAATCTTTTTTGCACTGTGCGTCGAAATTTTCGTTGGTTTTTTTGCACAGTGCAAATCAATCCTTTCTTTTCGCGACAAATCATTGCACAGTGCAGTTTCGAAAAACTTTCATTGCACTGTGCAAAATTTAAGAATCTCTTTGCCGCACGGTGCAACAAAAACTTTTTCAGTTTTTCTGCACCGTGCAAATTGATCCTTTCTTTCCGCGACAAATCATTGCACAGTGCAGTTTCGAAAATCTTCCTTGCACTGTGCAATTTCGAAAATTTCTTTGCACCGTGCGGCGAAATTGTGTTTTATTTTTTGTGCACAGTGCAAATCAATGTGTAATTTCTGCGACAAATCATTGCACAGTGCATCTTCCAAAGACCTCTTTGCACGGTGCAAAATTAAAATTTTTTTTTGTCGCACGGTGCAACCTAAATTTCTTGGTTTTCTGCACTGTGCAAAAGAGATTTTTTCCCATTTTCCGCACAGTGCAAAAATTTTCTTTCCTTTCCGCAACACATCATTGCACAGTGCAGTTTAATAAAACTTTTCCGCACAGTGCAAAAATTTTTTTTGGTTTCTGCACGGTGCAAAAAAAATTTTTTTTTATTTTTTTTTGCACAATGCAGATTTAGAAAAAAAATTTTTTTTTTAATTTTTTCTAAACGCTATGCTCTGTAAATTCCTATTTCGCCTTTGTTTTTTACGAAAATTGTTTTCGATTATCGTCTTTATTAGCCATTCGTAATCGGGATTACTCATTTTATTGTGCTTCCGTCGCTTCTCCATGATTCTTAGAGGGGTTTTCAGCTTCCATGGGGCTTGAGATTTAATTTTGAATGTAAAATACGTAGTGATTCAGCTCGATTTTTACATTTTAAGGTATTTTTCCCAGTTTTTCATCTAAAATAATATTATTTTTTCTCGAAAATCCAAAAATTTCATCGCAAAACCCAAAATATATCAAGCGAAATATTGTTTGTAAGGTCAGGTCTGTGGGGAATCGGGCATATTATTGTGGGTTGCGCGCAGCGTTGACCTCATTTATTCAAATAACTTCCTTCGCCAATTACTGGTCAGAATCCCTCATTTCAACAAGCTAGAGTTTGGATTTTTGAATTTTTTACAGTCTTGGTAAAATACGCCGTCATCAACAGATTCTGATTTTTGCACAGTGCAAAATTTTTTTCAGATTTTTTGAAGTTTTTGCACTGTGCAGTCTGATTTTTTAAAAGTTTTTTAAATAGTAAAGTAATGACTGTAAATGTCTGAAAATTTTATTACGGCTTCGAAATGGCTTCATAGTTCATGCTCTATCAGTATTTTTTAATGTCATTATTTTGCGCCGCACTGTGCAGAAAAATAATTGTTTTCTCTGCACCGTGCATTTTCTTGGATTTATTGAAAGTTTATTAATGGAAATGGCTTTTAAAATACGACGGAACTAATCTTGTCTACATTTTACAGGCTCTCCTTGACAATTTGCAATTTTTCTGGGATCGTTTTATTTTATTTCCGCACTGTGCAAAAAATTTTTTTTAAACTTGCGTAATTTGCAAACAAATACTCTTATCGGGTTGAAAATTAAAATCTAGTGTTCCAATGGGGATGTGAGTCGTATTTTAACAAAATTTTTTAATTACTATTATCTTCCTCCGCACAGTGCAAAAAATAATTTTTTTGTCTGCACCGTGCATTTTTCAAAATACTCTAGAAATATACTCTATTTAGTTGAGGCGACGTATTTTAAAATACGTCAACTTTAAAGCTTATCGCAGTTACATCAATCTATCCGTGTTTTTTTTTATCAATCATCACGTTGATTTTTCATTCCACTTACAAAAAAATGCCAAAAATTTTTAGATTTTCCTTCTTCCGGTGCTCTTTCCCTCTAATTTTGTTGTAAATCGCCTTTTCAATGTACAATAATGTCTACGAATCGCCGTTGTCGCGGCCCACCTCCTATTACGCCCCTCAAATGCCCTGTTATCCGGTGCCATGGCCGCCGAATCCCGACTATAATCAACCCATGCCCTCGGGGCATGGCTATTACCAAGCTCCAATAAACCCGACTCACCCCAATTTATATCCCGAGATGGTCTACAACGAGCCCTGCGGCTACAATCCGGAGATCTATCCGGAAATGGCGAATATGACGAAGCCGCGGATTCGGCCGAATTCCGTCGGCCGAAAACCTCAACGCCGCTCCGTAGCGGCTCTACAGGACCTTCAGCGATATTTTCAACCGCCGTTGCAAAGGACGCTACCGACAACGCCCGAGTTCTCGGCCAGTTACTTTAACCATCCGCTAGGCACGATGCCTCGAAATAAACGGCCGAAACATCAAATCTCGGCGGAAATTTCCGCGACACTCCCGAATAATAGTCGAAGGAAGAGTGTGATACTGCCCCCGGATGAGAGTAAACACAATATTTTCCATTGGTTCAAAGAGAAAATGGGCAAAAATGAAGAACGAGCGCCAAAAAAGGTGTACACCTCGGGATCGTTGCCTAGGAACTTTGCCCTGCGGACAAATAGCCCCAAAACCAAATCAGTCCCAAGAATGAAGAAGGCTGACGCCAGGCCAGGTGTTGCGAATGGATTTAACAATGTGTTTTACACTCAAATCGACCCGAAAATGCGACCAGCCCAATTGTCACCGGAGAGGGGAAGAAAGCCGCTAAATGCATCGCCCGAGAGACAGCGACGCGCTATAAATTTATCACCAGAGAGGTCAAGTCGTAAGCTAGGGACCGCAAAAGTTGATCATCGTCGCCTGAACAGTCAGAATTTGTCGCCGGAAAGGTCTAGACGAAATTTTCAAACCTTGTCGCCGGAGCTCTCAAGAGCTCGAAATTCATCAGCAGAACGATCGAGAACTCTTCCAGGCCCTGAGAATAGCTTCTATGATAATCATAACCCAATGTTGTATGGGTATTACAACGGAAATGACGTCAACTCCAACAACGGGACCTTGAGTAAAAAGCGGATTACTCGATACACGACCGATGGAAAACCTATTCAAATGCAAAGAAATGGAGCTCTAGATAACTCTACGTATGCCTCAGGCGATGTTCCGGCCAAACCCCCACAATCCGCTGAGATTTTGAGGAATTCAATTATCGACCCGCTAAACGTAAAACAATATCCAAAACGCAGCTCAAACGGCCAGATTGTCCCTCCAGAGCCTCCACCTGACTACTCGGACCGTAGTGACTCTCCGGCATCGCAGCGACGTTCTCCATCGCCATTCAGTGTCCCGCCGAGGGTCCGTTTTCGTTTCCCCAGTGCAGATGATATCCATAGTGTAAAGAAGGAGGAGAAGATCGTGGAGAAGGTCGAAAATGTCCCACAACCAAAAGGATTGTGGGCCAGGACCTTTGATCTCAAGATCTACAAAAAGCTTCGGCCATTGATTCAAATCCGCGGCGTCAAAATTGATGAGAAGGAACTGGCGAAGAATGAGAAAAAACGGCCGAACCCGCCGAAAAACCCACCGGCCACTGGTACTGCTGTCACCACAAAAACCTCTGCAGTGCCTTCGAGCCAGAATAAGCCTTTGCCCACCGAGCCAGCCAATGAAACGGCCAAAAAACGGTCGATTGAGCGATTTACGGCCGCTGTGAAAGAGACCCTCAAAAACACCCAAACGGATCAGCCAAAATTGGCGGACACTCTCCACAAGCCAGCTTCTATTCTCTGCTCTCAAGGCTCCAAGAAGCGACGAGCGCCGGATCCACCAATGGTGCCGGAGGCGAGTTACAGCGAACCGTTGAAACCGGCCGAACTCGACCTTCGAACTGATGTGTTGGATGCAGAAATGGCGCTGAAAATGGCGGAAAATGCATATATGAATCACTACGAACCTAATGGTATTGCTGAAGTTGGCAAGGCAAATTTGGCGGCCGAAAATTCAGTAAATTTGCATAATTCGGCCGGAAATCAAAAACCCTGGGAATCGATAGGAAATGGCCAAAATAATAATAAAAACGAGCATAATGGGACTTACAACAGCCTAAACACCGGCAATCATGCCCAACCAAGTAATTTCCCCACTGAAAATAGCGATTATTTGAAGTTTGAGAGCGATATCGAAAGCGGCCGGAAAATCGAAAATTCCCAGGAAAGCGGCCGAACAAGTAGCTTGCCTACATCTCCAATGGTTCTACATGACATTTCAAGTCTTCGTGCCAAATTTGAAGCCGATTGTTCGAATATTACCCGAATTGAAGCCAATTCGTCGAAAATGGAAGATTACAGTAACCCGTCAAAAAACGATGACCAAACTGTGATAAAATTGAAGCCAGTGATTGATGAGGGCTATCAAGAAGATTTGACGCGGTTGCCAAGACCCTTGGAATCCAAGGTTTGGCGATACAATCCTTCAACTCAGGGCCTAGTACAATATAATGAAATCGAGCCAAAACAGCCCGTGATATCACTGCATCTTGACGAAAATGGAAACACCACAACAGCGCTTCTTACCGACCAATATACTCAAAACTCAACCCAATTCAACGGCTACAATGACCCAAATTCGACGGTTACATCATCGTTCCGGTCCACTAATTCCAACTCAATCCCAACGGCTCAGTCCTCGGCTAATCCGCTGATCGCGGATAGGGGAGTGTGCTATGTGGGTGGGACGCGGATCGAGTACTTTTTGGACCGGTCGACCGGTCCGTTGGTTGTGCATTATCAGACCAAACGCACTGTGCACATGGGCAATTTGGTCTGTGGAGGAGGGGAATTGCCCGCAGGCAATGAACAGGAAATTGATGTGTATGGCTCGTGGACCAATAACCTGCCTGCTCAAGGGGTTATTACAGGTATTTTTGTGCGAAAATACATACAGTGGCACCAGATTTGAAAAAAAAAATATTTTCGTATTTTAGTCGTATTTTAGGAGTCTCAAATTTTAGAAAAATACGGGAATAGCAGAAACGGACATATTCTATTACCTATAACAAAAAAAAATAATTTTTTACTGTCGTATTTGAGTGATACGAGCAAATTACTTCATAACCAAAATTAGTCATCATTTTGAATATTTGATATTCAAAAGTAAAATATATTATTTTCAGACCTCGATTATGGCCCAGGGATAGTCCAGAAGCTCCGAGAACGATTTGCCCGGCTAGCCAGCACTCCCAGGACCGAAAAAGATGAGTTTTCCGACTGCACAGTGCAGAAAAGAAGATTTGCGTCAGCCGAACCTCCGTCGATAAACACTCAAATTCTACCGAAAATGGAGTAAGTTACTGCTAAAACCGTCGAAATATCCATTTTTTAGCTAATTGGAAGTTGGATACTTTTTGATACCTTTTGATACTTTTTGAAGTTTTTTGCGGTTTTTGGTCGGAAACTGGAATTATTGGAATTCAGAGGTTACAAAACCTAAATAAATGATATTTTCAGCCCTTCCAAGCTCTCCGACGGCATGAATTCGGCATCGTCGACGGGCTACAGCAGTGAAGAGTCGAATCCGTCGGACGCGTCGGAACCCCCGAAAGAACTCTCAAAATCAGCACCGCTTCCCAACGAACGATCCAGAAGGAGTCAATCGGCTTCTCATGCTGACGATGATCTTCAAAAGCCAGAGATTCACGATCCAACCCATGTGATTACACCGATCAGGTCGTTGAGAGAGAAATTCGAGAGACAATCGCAGAATTCGTGCATGAATAAGAGTGTAAGGACTGTGGTGAGTATTTTACAAGTGTTACGGGTGATAAGGGTAAAAAAAATAAGGAATTTTTGCAAAAATTTGAATTCCTGCCGGAATTTTGAATTCTTGGCATTCTGTTTCAAGGCTCTCAAAATTCGAATAAGGTGATAGAAAGTAAGCTACTACCGTTTAAAAGCAATTTTTGGCGTTTTTTGAGGCTTGCAACAGAATGCCAAAATTTTTTAGTTTTGGCGGGAAAATAAAAATTCGAAATTTTTAAAGCGGGAATGGGTAAAATACGGCCACAAAACTTGAGAAATATTTTATTTATTCATTTCAAAGTCATCGTAGTGTTTATTTTGACTTTTTTAACCTAAATAAGTCAATTTTTACTTGCACCGTGCGCCAAAGGTAAATGTTGTAAATCTGTTGTGTTGTAGTATTCGCCCCGGTCATCATCATGTCATACGAGTGTGGTAGCTCGGTATCCACCTCGTCAACAGTCAGGCTCACGGAAAAACAGCGAAACTTCAACCGTACTCACTGATTCCGGGGTATCAAGTACAACATCAACCAAAAATTCTCTCCCATCAGCCAAAATTACGCCAAAACAGCCGCTCCGAAGGCTTTCCAAGCCTGCAGTGCCCTCATTCGCGACGGAATTTTCGATGAATTCCAAGGAAAATGAGGACACCAAAAATTTGGCAGAATCGACCGGTCGAAAACCGACTTTGCCAAAACGCACCGTGTTGGCCAAATTGGAGCCCGAACAGAAGATTGTGGTCTCCCCACCCTCACCACATTCGAGTAACGCCTCCACGAGCAGTGGGGATTGCCCATCGACCAAAAGCAATGAGCAGGAGGTAAAGAAGCGAAAGATTTTTAGTATCCGGAACAAAAAGCTGATTATCCGTGAAGTCGATGCCTATGTCGATGATGACTTTGACTATTTCGGAGTGTATTAGGGCCTATTCTATGCTTTGAAAGTCATTTTGAGATGGTAAAATACGGGATCTTTTCCATACCCGAAAAAGAAAATCATCAAATTTTTGGAAAAGATAAGGTAAATTTAAAATGCCGATTTTTCCAAAAGTAACTGACCAATCTAAAATCGGCTTAAGGGTATATTACAGTACCCTTCGGAGATCATACATACAAAATTTTATCCGAAAAGATTGTATGATTATTGAGTTATGAGCAATTTTTGAACAATAAGTTCAAATTTACCCTCTAAACTAAAAACTTAAAATGCTGGAAAAGAACATGTCGTATTTTACCCTAATTTGGACTTAAGTATTCAAATAGTATCTAGAAACTACTAGATAAGTGCTAATGACATATTTTAAAATTGGGTTTAGATATGATCACTTCAAGTTATATTACCCATCCTTTCCAAAAATTTGATATTTTTCTCAAAAAAGACCAAAAAATTAATTTTTTCCTCGTTTTTATCTTACCTCATTGCTAACTAAGTACTAATAAACTTCTAACCTTGTGATGGTGACATTCTCTTGCCTTTAATTACTCATTTTTGCTTTTTTTGTTTGCACTGTGCACTTTTTTATTTTCGCTTTTTCCACCCAAAAATCGCCAAAAGTTTGTGTGATCTATTGTCAGAATTGTTAGAAATGCTGTAAAAAGAATTTTAAGACAGGAGTTCCCCAGCAACATACGAGATTGACCGTGTTCCAAGAAAGATTTTTTGAAAAACATCAGTTTTTAGCGGTCCACTTGACTTTTGACTTGTTTTTGTTTAAAAAACAAAGTGAAAATATTCGAAATGCCTTGTTTTTGAATAACACGGTCTTTTGCATCGGGTCGTTTTCGTTAGGCAAAAGATTTGTGTATTTTTATCCGGACTTTTCGGCTTTCCCGATCCGACTTTTATTGGATTTAGAGGCCTATAAAATCATGTCGCAAATTTTTTCGACAATGTTTATAAATCGAAAAGATTTATGGCATGGCTTTTTGACATCATGAAGCACACATTGGGTTGCTTTTGGTATCAGCGGCTTCATTTTTTTATGTTGTTTTAGGCAGCTGCAACATTTGAATAAAAAAGTTGTCTAAAGTAATATAAAAGATAAATTTGAGTTTAAAAGCGAATAAATTGACCCAGAATGATCAAGTAATCCTTACAGTAAGCCAGCGGAAAACTCAAACTCATAATTTCCCGCCAAAAGCTAAAGTTTTACATCTCCAGCCTGCGCCCGAAGATCTGCAGACTGCGCGAGAGATATTGTTGCAGAAGTTTTTTTCTCGATCGGATTTCCGCGGAAAGTTTGCTTTGTGATGTTGATGGCTTTTTTTCTGCTCTACGGCGGTTTGTTTAATGTTTTTCTGCTGAAAATTGCCGGCATTACCAGTGAATTAATTTAGAGATTAGGATTGACAGGATTTTTGATGGTTTTAGGGATTTTCTGCTGGCGTTTGTCGGTTTTCTGAGTTGAATTTGGAATATAGATTACCTAAATACCTTGGGCTTTCAGTTTCTTGCGGTTTTGTTCCAGAATTCAGCGGGTTTGCCTGTTTTTTTGAGGTTTACATTATCCATGGCATGTGTAATATAATTTTGCTCAAATCTTGGTGGTTTTTTGTATGTTTCATGTGTTTTATGGCTTTGTCACATCTGTTACTTTCTAATTATGCTATATTCTTCCTATTCGAGTTGAGATTCCTTAATTTTTTCTGTTTTTTTCGCTTCACCTTTGCTCTGCTTGAAGAATAAGATGGTCTTGTGTGAAGCCGGCCTAACAGATGCTTCAAGCCCATGTCCTCGCTCCGTCACCTCTCTCGAGGACCCTCAGATCCATGTGGTCGAGTCCGGAGACGCGGACTCGATGCCGGGCATTCGTCTGCTCACCAAATGTAAACCAATATCAACTCCGGAATGCGAGGATATCGCCAAACTTCCGTTGACTCCGATCCGCCCAGTCCGTCAACAGCCCGTCTTCTTCACACCGGTCCGACAGCCGAAGCGGCGATCGTTGGTGGGCCGCGTTTTGACGAGGATTTTCAATTGCACTCAGCCGCAGAAGGTGAAGGAGAGGTTCGAAGAGACGGCTCCCACCAAAAAACATCGGGATTCACTGGTTCTGAATGGTGTTCAAGACAAACGAAAGGGCTCGAAGGTGCTTTTTGCTTGGTTTTTGTTGAGTTTGCTTTTGTTTTTGGCTTGCTGTGCTTTGGTGATGGTTGATATCTAAAATAAGGTGGAACGGAGTAAAATAAGAGGTTTTTTGTGGAAATTTTGTTTTAAATAGTTGAATTAGGATGTATTATTGATTGTAAAAGAGAATTTTATATAGTTTAGGTTGATTGTCACTTGAAAAATATTGTTTTAGTTCAGCTACTTTATTTTAGGCAAATTTTGATATTTTTTAGTCAATTTTGAGTGGAAATGGCTGATCAATGTTGTATCTTCACGTGTAGTTGTGAAGGTATGTAGTCAGCCAGATGTAGGGTAACAAATATAGAGAGGTTTATTACAGAATAATAATAACAAAACGTAGCGTAACACCAAACATTCACTGAATAATATGTAACAACTGAGCTCCCTTTTCTTCTAGGCTTCGAGAAGCTTCGAATGAAACGGAATGCCAATAACGTAGTCGCAGGTTTCGTCTCGGGACTCAACATCTCCCTTTGTGAAGAAGGATCAGCGCTTGGATCGGTAGGTGGAGAGTTGACTGTAGTCCGGTAGCTTCTTGGCATTTTGGCTTGGGTTCTACTCGACGGGCTAGTGGATTGCGGTCTTCAGGTCCGTTGGATCGGTTCGGAACCGGAAAATAGGCGAATAGATTAGAAGAGGAACTTGCCGGGGGTGTACTATTCACTTCTTCCACCATCTCATCGTACTCGTAGTCTTCGTGTACTCGTTTCCGTAGTTGAATGAGTTTCCCAGTGACTTGTTTTCCAGTAACAAGTTGTATCGCGACCATCTCTCCCTTTGTAAAGGAATGAGGTCTGGCTCCATGAATGGGTTTGGAATGTTCTTTCCTGACCTTCAGGGATCCATTGAATGAGTTATGGCCAACTGATGTATCCGTGACTGAGTTTTCTGAACATGGACATGGATCAGGGTCCTTGAAAGGGGAATTCTTGGGAAGCTCTTTGATTCTCTGAGGAATCTGGGATTGCATGATCTGTAGATCATGGCCAATTGAAAGCGACAATTGTACTTTGTCGTCCAGGAGATCTGTGTAGCATCTTCTGATTGAATTGAACTGAGAAGGACCTGTGTAACATCTTCCTTCTTTTGAATTGAAACGTAAAGGATCTGTGTAGCATCTTCCTTTACTTGAATTGAACGTGCACTTGAACGTCGGGATCTGTGTATCATCTTCCCGCATTTGAATTGAATGTGTACCTTGCCCCATTTCTTCTTTGAAATTCTCCGTGTATTGAGAAACCATCGTCTGAGCGTAGTATTCGACGACGTTGATGTTGGCCTTGCCTTTGTTAAAGCTTCCTTCGATTGAGTTCTTTAGGCATTCATGTGCACGTGGGCCGTTACATCTGTAGCACTTCCGTGTATTGGAAGAGTTTGAAGAAAGGGGGAGTGAATGGGTGTGCTCTGGCTGACTGTGGTACTTCTTCAGCTCGTTGACTTCAGATGAGACTGTAGGTTCATGTGAATTTCCCAGGTTCACGTCTTCCATTCTGATGTCAAGTGGAATATAATTTTTGACAGAAGGAGTCAAAATTATCCTTGAAATGGGTGTACGAGGAGTGTAGGGGTGTGGGAATTCTGTTTTCCGCGAGGAAGATTCAGAATCTAAAGGCGAGAACAAAAAATTCGAAGAGTACCTGGTTCGAAGTTGCAGTAGAAGGTGGACAGCTGAACTGCTTCTGTAGAAGTGCTCTTGATCTGATTCCACGTCGTAATCTTCTTCTGCTCGTGTTGACTGCGCCAATTGTTGTTGGAAATCAATTGGGCTCTGCCCGCACAGGTTCGAATCCTGTCGACTGCGCCAATTGTTGTATCTTCACGTGTAGTTGTGAAGGTATGTAGTCAGCCAGATGTAGGGTAACAAATATAGAGAGGTTTATTACAGAATAATAATAACAAAACGTAGCGTAACACCAAACATTCACTGAATAATATGTAACAACTGAGCTCCCTTTTCTTCTAGGCTTCGAGAAGCTTCGAATGAAACGGAATGCCAATAACGTAGTCGCAGGTTTCGTCTCGGGACTCAACAATCAATAGCTGCTAAGTGAGGGAAATGAAGTCTTCATGATTATTAGATGGATTTAATTTATTTTTCGAAAGTTTAAAACAGAGTTTTTAAAAAATTTTTAAAGATTTTCCAAATTTTTACAGCTGAATCGATTTTAACTCGATTTTCGTTTCAGACCAGTGATGATTTGGACAGCATTGTGAGCCAGGACGAATTCACGATCCCTCCATCACACAATGCCACCTATTTCCGGGCTGGAGTTTCGCCTCGCCCCAATTCTTCGAATCCGGAGCCTCACCCTGTTTTTGCCGAATCCGACGCTGAACAACCTCGACACTCACTTCCGATGACCTCATCCAAACCCTCGATCCAATCACAACCCGTTTTCAAGGACTCCGAGCCAAAGAGCTTGGCCAATTCGGCCGAACGGCCCAATCACAGTTCCGCCGTTCAATCGACCAGCCAGTTTGCGCACAGCGATGGGAAACAGCTTGCGGAGGAGCGCCCTTCTCCAAAGAGTGATCGCAATCCGGTTCAGTCGCCGTTGCCACCTCAAGAACGGCCAACGACCCTTTCTTTACCGAAAAGTAATGGAAGTATAAGGTCGAATGGATCGCCTGGAACAACGCCGATTGCAAAAGCCGCCCAATGCAAGCAGGACGCGTTGAAAGATGCCTCAGGAATGATGGAAGTTCATCGGATGTTGCAAAAATTCAATGCGAAACGATTCAATGAGAGCAAGGATAAGGTGGAGCCTGGAAGTGAATATGAGGGTTGGTTTGACTATTTTTTGAGTGGATTTTTTTGGTGTTTAGTGGTACTTGACCAACCATTGCGATATGCTTTTCGATTTATAGTGTTTTGAAAGGATTTGCGAAAGTGAAAACGGGGTTTTCCATTTTATACGATGAAAGGTGTCTGAAAATGAAAAAATTTAAAAGCTCAATAATGCACCATACGTATTTTAAAATTACAATAGCTTTTGTTGCAAATAATTTATGCTAAAAATATATTTTTTATTGATTTTGCTTGAAGTTTCGATAAAAAGTCTGGGCGCAGCTCGCCGACTCGGAAACTTTAAATATGACGTATGACTTAATAAAGCAGGTGCAAAATTACATTTGGAACAAATTGTAGAAGCGAGTTTAACTCATTTTACATCTCGGGGTGTCCATTTTCGACAAAACTCTAGGGCGCAGGTCGCCAAAACAGAACCTCAAATAGCCAATGTAGGATTCCAAAAATACGTTTTATTACATCTCTTGCTGCCTTTAGAATCTCTAATTTATCTAATCAGAGACAAAAACCTCCACTTTTTTCCCTCTGGCCAACCATTTCTGACAAATCCGAGGGCGCAGCTCGCCTACAAAAGCCCAAATATCAAGTATGAGATCCCGAAATAAGAAGATTACTCGCCTATGCAAATTTGCGAAAGGGTTTATTCTAATCTCATATGCGCCTCCTATTCAAATATCGCCGAAATTCGATCTCCGACTCGACTCACTCAAAATTTTTTTTGAAACTTTCGCTCGGCGCCCTCTCTCTGATATACCTGCAATGAGATCTTATGGATGATATCGCACGCGGAGATCTAGACGCATAAGCTTTCCATTTCTCTTGATTTTTGGGGATTTTATGATGTTGGCAAGGCTTGAAGGGGGAAATTTAGAGGATATTTGGGATTTTGATATGATTCTTGGGGATTTTTGTGTTTATTTGGGATAATGAAGGGTTTAGAAAGAAAGAATACTTGACTTTAGGGATATTGAAGTTATTAAATCTCATTTTTAAGATAAAAATTTGTGATTTTTGCCTAAAATTTGTTGTTTTTGGGTAAATTTTGGATTAAAACCGATGATTTTACTTTTTTTTGATAAACTTATTATTTTAATATATCATATGTGCTGTTATTTGTCGTATTTTAAAATGAAATCCAACTTTAAGCATCAAAAATTTGAGAAATTTTCAAATTTTTGTCTAGTGTAATATAATTTTTTTTGTAATTTTTATGCATAATCTTTGTGTAACAGTGGGATTTATGGGTAAAATACGACAGATGCTTTTGTAGGAAAATTTTTTTATTTCCTATAGACTCAATATTCGTTTTAAACCGGCGGTTTTTTGATGTTGTAGTAGATGGCATTGAGCCGCTGTCGGCGGCTGGTCTTTTTAATAGCGACTCTCTCCTTTTTCGCTCCATGAATAGAGTCAAGAGGTTCTCGGTTACGTCGATGACCTTAAGCGTCGACTGAATTGGGTCGATTTTTCGTTTGTTTGGTTTTGAATTTTTGGGGGATTTTTTGAAATAAATTAATTTTGTTTGTGTTAAAATAGGCAAAGAAGTGTTGGACGTATTTTACAAGTGTATATCCATATCTGGACTTGATGGAAACTAAAATTTTTGAGCAAATTTTAAGAAAAACGAAATTTTTATATTGTACTTGATATTTTTGAAAAAATTTTGGTCAAGATTTTATTTACTAGAGGAATTTTATTTTCTGAGAACTTTAAGACACTTGATGCCTCTATAACTACGATAAAAATACCTAAAATACGGGGTTTTACCCAAAGAATCGTCGATTTTTGTATTAAAATAGGTTTTTTGATCTTTTTTTGTTGAAAAATGATGAGAACGTTATTTAAAAACCCCGGAAAAGGTAGTGTAAGGCTTTTTATAGCATAAAAAGACGTTGTAACGCCTCAATTACACCCCATATTGAGCTGGCGATATTATCCTTGGATCTATCTCCCAAAAGTTAATTGAAGCCATCCCTTCCGCCGGAGGTTTGACCCACTTCCAGCACAATGATTTACTCTATTCCCAAATAACAGCATTTCCCTCGTTCCGAAATTACAGCCTTTTGGTGTCGTAAGGGATGGGCGGAATGGATTTATTGCATCCGAAACCTCTAATCTAATATAAGGAGGTTAAAATATGGGTTGGAGTGGGGGTTTGGAGATGATGGGAAAGGAATGGAGAGGAAGTAAGAGTTGTAAAGTAATTTGGAAGCTAAATGAAGATTAGTTTTGGGGGTTTTAGCCATTGTTTACTAAATTTTGTCATGGATAATATAAAAGAATGGCGTAGAAACATGTAGGAGAGATCAAAATGGATTAGAGATGACTTGAAATGGTCTGTAAATTAGTCTGGAAGGTGTTTAGGGCTATTCAGACACTTGAAACGGAATGCCAAGATTGGCGGGAAATTCAAATTTTTGAAAATTAAACTCAAGTTTTGATTGCAGATTGTCATTTTTCGATTACTGCGACCTAAATAACTTTGAAAATAACTAAATGATTGTTTTTTAACCAAAAATATCAATTTTTATCATGGATAATATAAAAAATCAAGATTTTTTTTTCTAAAACAATATTTTTATCTAGAATTTGATGTCATGATGCCTTTCATATTCAATTTTACGTCGAATTTCGTCCCTTGTTTTTCATAGTTTTTGGTTTTCGACCCCATTTGAAAGGTCAACTTGATTTGGAACACATTAAAAACATTTGAAAACTTGACTTTTTATTCGGAATTCCGCGCGAAAATATGCGAAACGCGATGGATGGTAGTCGGAAGGAAATGAAGGTAGTTTTTGGAAGACGACTCGAATTTCGAGGTTCTAACGGGTTTTTGGAAGGAATTTGAAAGAAAAAATAAGTTTGTGAGAAATTTATGGTGTCAGAGATGTTTTACTCGTTGAATTTGTGGATTAAATAGATTCTAATGGCTTTAGAATTGCATTGCGAAGTTGGACTTTGTGGCTGGGTGTCAAAAATTTGACTTTTGGACATTAATTTATGTTATACTAGGTATCAGATGATAAAAGATAAAATTTTGGTGGTTTGTGGAATAAATTTTGATAGAGTGAGTTTTCAAGGGCTGTAATAAGGTGTGTGGATAATGTAGAGTTAAAAATGACACCTATTATAACTGATTTATTTTATGAAATGGACAAAAAAATAAAAGATTCCTCTCAAAAATTTGATTAGTTTTAGTTGAACTAGTCCAAAAGCTCTATTTTTGCCGTTGACCTTAATGCAGAGCCAGCAATGTGTCTAACATGGATTACGTCATAAATCGTAAGCGATTGCCCTTGCGTCGGGGCGATCGCAAAACTTTTACGATTCCGACACTCATTCTGGCTGATTAATGGCTATATTTCCACCTCAAGGACAATAGCCGACTGACGTAAAGGCTCTTAAAACATACTTTCCAACTGTTTTATGGACCACAAAAGGTTTTCGGTTTAGATGTAGCGATTTTGAGATTTTGGGGATTGTTTTTTGTCATGGATAATATAAAAAAATCCGATTTTTTGACGAAAATGTAAGTTTCAAGACGTTGTAAAATACGAGTCGGTGTGATATTGGTATTTTATAGGGGTTTGAGGCATTTTCAACACTTGAAACATAATGCCAAAAATTGTGGGAAAATTTAATTTTGAATTTTTTGAGCCGAAAGTTTGTTAGAATATACGTGAGCTGTCTGCAGATAGGTGAAAATGTAGTTTTAGTGCCGTAAAAATCCTTTTACGTCTTTAAAAAAGTAGCTTTCCTTGAAAGTTTTGAAAAAATCGCTGATAAAAGTACAAAAAAGGCCAAAAAGTCATCAAAAACTGCAAATATCTACGTAATTGGAACCTCATTACTCTTTTTAATGACTTGAAAATTACGTGAGAGCGGATTATAAAATTAATTTCAAGACGATAATAAAATGGAGGCGTCCGGTTGGGAGATGGCGATAAGGTGTAGCCATGATGAATGGCGTAGGTTTTGAGAGAGTTTCGGTAGATTGAGGGCTTATAGTCTGTTTGTCTTGCAAATTGACAATATAAACCCTAGATGGGGGTTTGATTAGTTTTAGGGCAGTTGAAGAGAGATGGGATATTATACTAGATATTTTTTTGAGTTTTTTTGAATGTTAGAGGAGACAAATTTGAGTGGAATTAGCAGAGTAGCCATTTTTACAGTATTGTTTAGCTTTATTTTGAGCTCAAAGTATTTTTGTGAAGGTAAAATATGTCAGTTTTCAAACATTTTGGTTATTTTTGGTCATTATTTGGCATTTTCAATTGAAAGCCTTGTGTTTTGTGGACATTTAGTCAGTCATGGTTTAGGAAGGCGTATTTTAAAAATCATTTAAGCCGTTGCGAACACTTTGTTTCACAAATTTTACCTTGGTTTGGCACGATTCTAAAAAAATCAATATTATACTTGATTTTTTTGGTAATTTTCTCGGATTTTTTGATTGTTTTCCTTTGATATCTGGCTAAATTAGTTTATATGTGCCTCTGTTAGAGTCTGCTGGGTAGCTGGGATATGTTGAGCCGGAAATGTCAGCGGTTTTTACATATGAAACTTCAAGATTTGTATTTTTTCACTTTCAAATTTGAGACAATAGTTAGCAACTCGTATTTTACAATGATTTTTTGCCTGTTTTTATCGATAAAATTGTATCTTATAGGGTCTTATCAGAGTGTTGAGTATTGACTATCGCAGCATTATCTCCAACATCCGGTAAATTGACCTTTGTTTTATCTTCCACATGACTTCAAAATTAGAAAATTAAATTGTTTTCAAAAATTTATTCACCGGAAGTTCCATTCAAGCCCTAATATGCGAGGAACACGAGTTGGCACAGCCCATCGCATTGAGCTAAATGACCCATGAACCGCGGTTATCGTTAGACGTCAGAGCGTTCCATTTATGAGCGGACAATATTTATGGATTTGAGGGGGTTTCTAAAGAATTTTGAGAAAGAGTTTTGAAGAAATGGGTGTTCTGGGAAAGGAGATGGGTTGTAGTTTGTATGGGACTACGGTGGAGATAGTTTGGAGTCCAGTTTTGACATAAAAATGGGATTTTTTGAGCAAAAGGTCATGGATAATATGAAATAATTATTAGAAAAGGGTTGTAAATTTTTCCAAATTGATTGTAGATGGTCGTATGTGGGGTAGAAAGTATGTTTTTTCGATTTTGAGGGGGTTTGAGGACTTGAAACGGAATGCCAAAAATGGCGGGAAATGGAAAATTTGAAAATTTTGGCTAAATTTGGACAAAAAATGAACGTGAAATAGACCACAATGGATGATAGGCTACTTTGTGGATCTTTTTAGACATTTACAAATCCGAAAAGGATTGATTTTTGATCTTATATTACACATGTGTCATCAACGGAACGACGCGAAATTTGACTCAAAAATTTTTTTCGAAATGGAGAATTTAAACGCCGTAAAAACCCCTTTGATTCGCCATCCATATGGAACGAAAATAGGCTTGTCGTCGCGGATTTTGGTATTCGAAATAAGCCGCTTTCTCCCGCCTGTTTACGCCGTTACTTTTCTTTATTTCGTTTTGTTTTTTTTCGGAGTTTCAAACAGAAAAACAAAAAAAAATCCCCGTCGATTCTTATCTAAGACCCTGACAATGCTGGCAGTGCGATTTAAATGTCACGCTTGTCGTATTGATAAGGGGTTTGGCTTGTTTTTTTTGATAGGACCAAGTTTTGAAACTTTTTTTGAGAAATAATGGATTTTTGGATATTTTAGTTGATAATATGGATGATTTTAGAGGGTTTATGAGGAAGTTGGGTTGTATTTGCCGGAAAATGGCTTGAAATTACTTTAAAATTGTTTTATTTGGGAGATTTTGATAGTTTTAGGTCAATTTTTGGGTAAATTTGTCTAAAATAAGGTAAGCTTACTAATTTTTGGTCGAAAAGGATAAATTTTTCGGTGTAGAAAGAAGGAATAAGGCTTGTTGTTGAAGAAAAATCTGTTTGAGACAGTGAAATGGCTAAATTTGCGGTCTGTGATTTTATTTTGTCCAAAAATTGTCTAAAATAAGGTGGTTTTAATGATTTGAAGTTCAAAAAAGCTGTTATTTTATGTTTACTTGATATCTGTAAGCCTTTGGGTGAAAGACTAACCGGAACTACCTCATATCCCTCTCCATCAAAGACCGGAAATCCGTTGTTTTTCCCCTATATTGCACTAGACAACAAAGTCTAGTATAATATAGGAAATCCACTCCGATTTCCTGTCAACTTGCACAAAGTTCATTGTGTTCATTGAGTAGGTAAATATGAGTTGAATTTCCGCCCGCCGAACACCCCATCCACAAGTCCGAAGGGGCTCCCCTCGGGGGATTTTTGGAATAAAAAGCAAAAATTTGCGTGTCGGAACCGATATTGAAAGTAAATAAAGAAGAGGAGTCGGTTTCAGCCTCGCAAATGGACTGGAAAGGCGGATAAACCAATTCACTTTCATTGCAGAGGCGTTCGGATATTAAGCTATATTATAGTAGGTAGATGAGGTAAGAAATGACGGATTTTTGGTGGATTATTGGAGAGATTGTAGGGTAGCAAGATTGTAGAAGAGAGTTGATGAGTTGTAGAAAAATTTTCAAGGTGATAAGACAGTAATTGCAAAAATTTTCTCGTAATTTGCGCTGATTTTGTGGAATTTTTGCTGTTTATCAAGAATTTTTACAAGTTCCTTCAAAACTTTTGGATGGAAATGATAAGAAATGATTGTTAATTAAATTTGGAAGCAGTAGTAAAAGTCATCTTAATTTATGATAATCAGAAATTTGGAATTTTTCTATTTTTATCAGAATTTTTGGGAAATTTTGGAAAAAAATTTTTTATAGAGGTTTCTGGGTATTTCAGATTATGTGAGTTTAATTTTAGAGTAGTAAAAATACTTTTTGAAATGTTAAAATTGGGACTTTTTGAAATTTTTTATCGAATTTTCTCGAATTTTCCCTATTTTTTTGGATTTTTCCGCAATTTTTCGTGATTTCTACAGGGTGCGGCAATTTTTCGGCCGGATTTGAATTGGCTATAACTTTTTTAGTTCTTATCCGAATGTTAAAATTCTTTTTTTCCCTGAATCCTCAGACAACCCCATTTTGTTTAATACCAAATATGTTATATATACAGGGACCTAGTTCATAGTTATTGGCATTTTGGTCGTTTTCTCTGCTTTTTCGGAGTGTGTGAAAATCGCCAGAAAAAATGACTTTTTTTACGAATTTTGTCGTAAAAAGTTTCATGCCTGTTCATGCCATCGAGAATACCGTTTCCACAAAAAGTCAGCTATCTCCGCTCAAAACTAGCGAAGATATAGCCAAAAAGTTTGTCTGTGTGACCACTCATGTGCCCTCCTGACCGCAAAGAATCGTTGAATATCTTGGTCGCCCCTGCAAGGCGCGGGCTGAAACTTTCAGGAATTGATATGTGGCCTATGTCCGACCCATGTGCAAAATTTAAAGAAAATCTGAAAGTCGCACTGGGGGTAATTCCATTGTCAGCTATGAAAATTAGAGCTTTTTCTTTGTCTCGAATTTTTACTGTAGTCTAATGAACGGGTATAACATATTTGGTATTAAACAAAATGGGGTTGTCTGTGGATTCAGGGGAAAAAAGAATTTTAACATTTGCCCAGAAACTAAAAAAGTTATGGCCAATTAAAATCCGGCCGAAAAATTGCCGCACCCTGTAAAAAATTTTTAAATTTCATTGATGATATTGTGATTAAGAGCTTACCGCAGACACTATGTCTTTCCTATTCGACACGTTTCGACCCTCGAATAAAAACTTTTTGGACTCATTTTACGAGTCCTCCAAGGAAAATCGCGCTTTTGACGGCTTCAAATGGGCTAGTTCGGCGTTGAAAAGCGTTGTAAATGGTTGGTCAAGTAATTTGATAAATAATAGAGATGATGATTAGGATTTTTAGGGAGTTTTTGATTATGATTTTTTAGTGGAAAATGAAAATTTTGGTGATTTTTGGATTTTTTATGGAAATTTTTGATATTTTTGGATTTTTTTGTTATTTTTTCGAAGAGTTAGAGCAAAATTTTGATCAATAAAGAAGAATAAGATAATAATAGATAGTATTAGATAAAAATATTTTGAAATTTCAACAATTTTTTTGCAATTTTTTGTAAATTTTTTCAATTTATAGCCGATAATTCGACCGGTTCCGCGAAAACACTCCGTCCCGCGGACTCGGACACCTCCTTCCACACTGCCAACACGTCCCCAGGATCTCAGAACAGCATCCAGAAGTCGTCGGGCTCCTCCTACGCATCTACCTCATCCTCACCGAAACAGGGTACCCCCAGGAAAAGTCTAACCGCCAAATATTTGGAAGCCAAGGCCAGCGAAAAGAAGGACACTTCGCTGGAAATCATCTCCGAGAGCGATGCCAGCCCACAACCGGTCAATGTGAATACGATTTTGCCGGATTTGAGGGAGCTGCCGGATACGGTAAGAGGGGGTTGGAATTTTTTGCATTTTTTTGGACATTTTGAGATGTTGAAGGTTGATAAAATGGATGAGAATAGAAGAATAGAGCATGTATTACGAGTTGGCAATGGAATTTTGATGATTTTGAGACTTTCCCTGATTTTCAACGTTTTCGTGACGGGACCCAAAAACTTCGAAATTTTGAGATTTTTGAATTTTTGATGAGGTTATTGTAATTAAAAGAGTTTAACAGCTATTTTATACAATTTAGGATGGTAGTTGCCGATGTTACAGTATGAAATTTGAAGGATTTTGAGATTTTTTGGGATTTTTTACCTAAAATTTGGTTTTTTATATCATTTTTTGGAAAATTATTTGAATTTGGATGCTTTCAGTCGTATTTCAACCACACATTGTCCTTCTACAACAAGGACGACGCGGGTTCGACGACGTCGGAGGACTCTCTGGAGATAATTAATGATCCTCAAGAGGTAAGGGTAGAATAATATAAAAAAGTCTTGTTTTATGTTTGTCTTGATTTTTTTCTGGGTTTTTTCTGACGATTATGCAATGAAAATTCCAGGAGAAGCTCCTTGCACCCATCAGACAGTCGCTTCTTCACCTAGTCGCCGAAGAAGATGTCCCCGAAATCCTCGAGGCAATGGCCGAAAATGTAAGTAAAGCCCAAAGATTTTTGGCATAAAAGACGTCAAAGCCCCGTATTAGGACCGTAAGCACATTGTTCTTGACGTCCGACTAATGTTTACGGACTTCTTACAGTTGTATTAGCCAAAAGATGGGGTTAGCGTTAAATTTAGTAGTTTTTTTGAAAGAAAGGTTTATCCGACAGGTCTAGAAGGAGTTATTTGGATGGTAACTTGATGACTCAAGTTGGTTGTGATGTACGGAAGGGATTGGGCTTAGTTTTAAGGAGATCTTTGAGTTTTTTCGAGAAGAAAATTATGTTGGAGTAGGTGGAGTTGAAGAATTTTTGGAAATCCGGGAAAATGGTAGGATTACTAAGAATTACTGCTTCGAAGCATTGTAAAATAACATTTTTTATTGTACAGATCATAAATTTGCTGCAAGAGGCGTCGTTATGGATGTCATCGGCAATTCTTATATTGTTCATGAGGCCTGAAAAAATTGATAATTTTTGATGAAATTTTCGATGGAAATATGGGGCTTCTATGTAATATATACTGTAAATAGAATGATAGTGCTCCTCAAAGTGTTGATTCTTCATCATAAAAGGAATTGTGCTGATAGCGAACCTTTTTTTTATTATCCATGAGGTTTAAAAAAATTGGTGGTTTTTGGTAAAATCATTGAGATTTTGGATGCTTATTGTAACGAATATACTAGAGATAGACTAAGCATGCTATATTTGGACGGATATTTTAAGCAAGGAAAGAATTATGAGGTCAGTGAGCACTTTTTTTTATTATCCATGACATAGTCAGAGATCGCCGAAAAAGGTCTCCCAAAAATAAAGTGGAACGTGAATTTGTGAAGCATGAACTTTGTTTTGATTCACACATCGTTTCATCCGCATTTGGGTTTGCTTGAACTTTTATACGAAGGTTCATTGTACCGTAAAAATACAAAAAACGTTTTGTCGAGTCCAATGTTTCTTTTTATAAAAGAGAAAAAAAAGAAAGGCCCGGTGAACTTTTGGCCACGGCCCAGCTACGATAGGAAGTGACTCGCGTTGTTGCGGCTATAAAAGTGACATGAAGTATGTGATTTTACGCTCTCTCGAACCGAATATTTTGAACTATATTCGGGCTTTTTTTTGAGATTTTTTGAAGACTACGGTGGATAAAACTGATGTTGTTGACATTAACATGACGAAAGAAACCCCTGGTCGATGAATGAAGTCTATTTCGGAACAGTTAGCCTCAGGGGATTTGCAAAATTACGCGGAAATTGGAGAGAAACACCCAAAAATAGATGGAAATGGGGAAGAATTGTGTAATTGGAATGTTGACAATGGGCTTGGGTATAAAAGTAGGGAGAGTAGGGTTGGTGGGGTCAGACGGAGAAAGAATTAGGCATTTGTGGGGCAGTAGAAAGCTGGTTTTGGCATTTTTTGAACAAAAAATGACTAAAATGAGGTAAAAATTGGAAATTTTGGTAAAAAAAAGTTGTGTAAAGGACGTTTATTGGCTGTATAAAAGATCAAACAGGGTCCTTTATAACAGAATAGGTCTTATTTTAGTGCATAAGACAGTTAGAATAGAAAAAATTTGGCCTTTTGGCCAAAAAATACTAAATTAATATAAAAAAGTTAAATTTTTTGCTAAAATTTCGTTTTTATCTTGCTTTCTGTGACTGACAGACTCGAAGCAGGCCCTTTGCAGAATGCTCATTGAATTACCCGAGCCTGCGGACCTTAATTTAGCCGAATTGACCCGTTATCTTTGGAGGTCGCTCCACTTTTCCGAGATGGGTGGCCTTTATTTGCTTTCTCGGAGCAGTTTCCCTCATAAATTGCACGCGGAAACAGATTTTCTTGTGATTACACCCCTCCTTTTACATCCAGTAAAAGATAATGGCCCATTGAAGGCACTGAGACCGTATTTTTTCGTATTTTTGTTCCGCTTCCGCCATGTCTGGCCTAAAATAAGGTGAAAAATGGCGATTCGAAGTTTTGTGGTGTGTTTGCGGAAAATTGAGGGGTGTTTTGAGGAAGCTGATTGAATTTGACGCATATTACTTCCTTGTTTTGATAAGAAATGTTGAGTTTGACACAGTGAAAAGATGAAATTGTTTTCGCTTTGGGCAAATAAAGCGCAATTCCTCGAGGCGTTTTGGGATATTCCCAAGGCTCTCATTGTCGTCTAGACGGGAATTTGGTGCAGCTAGAGATTTGAGTTAGTCGTAGGGAATAATTGAGAGAAGGGATTTTTGGACCTTCCGGACCTAGTATAAGATAAAAAAATTGTCAATGGGGCAATTAAAGGTGAGCTAAAAGTAGAGTGGACCTCTGTTGAGGAAATTGGGATCGTTTTGGGTGAAATAATATTGTTTTGAGGGTAAAATACTTGTTATGGGATTCGAAAATTTTTTGTCAAGTACAGAGACCTGATGCAGTGGCAAAAAACGTACCATTTTGCATCCAGGAAGCATCAAAAAATGTGGCAAAATACCTCCCTCTCCTAGTGAAAAAACTCAGGCCGCTCTTTTTGTGAGGAAAAAGGGCGTGCCCTTCAAAACGAAATTTTTTTCACTTGGAGAGGGAAGTATTTTGCCACATTTTTTGATACTTCCCGGATGCAAAATGATACGTTTCTTGCCACTGGATCAGGTCCCCGCACTGTACAATATAAAAAATCGAATATTATTGTTGACGATTGATGTTATCTTGCTAAAAAAGATTTTCTAATAATAAAATAGACCTTTATCAGTCTGCTTGGAGATCTGCGAACTTTGAGCTTGATAAATATTTTTTTTATTTTTCGAAAAGTTCACTCCGACCAAGTGCAATGTGATGAAATTGGCTCGGATTAGGAGGGAAGTGCAGCTGAGCCTTGTTTACAGGTCATGATGTTTACTTAACAAGTTTCAAAAAGCTGTTGATAGCATTTGGAAACGTTGTCTTGAGACTTGGTTTTGCTTTTGTCTCAGTTACCCATTTTTTTTTTGATCTCCAGGAAGTTTTTGGCTGACTTTCAACCGGAAAACGCAAATTCCTCCTAGTTGTTTTTTGTTTTCCTGTCCTTTTGGGATGCTGTCATAGGGAATTGAGGTCAGAGATGTGTTGTGAATCAGTTTGGGCTCTTATTTTCGATGATAACACAACAATTAATCTCGCTTGCAGTCTTTTGTCTCACCACGAAAATGGAAAGGAGTTTGGCATTGTGCAAAATAAAGAATTTGCAAAGAAAATTTTTTTTATAAAAACCATTTTATCGCCTTCCAAGTCCCGTTTCCTAGCCGAAAGTTCCCTCAGACGTCAGCAAGTTGACAAATGACATGGGTATGAGCCATCAAAGTCTAAATTTACACGTAAAGACACTATAATTGATAAAATATATAAATCTTCATGACTTTTTTATATTTATTTTTCCCATTTGCAGAATGCCAAAAAGTGCCAAAAAGCCGGGAACTGACTTTTGTTATGGGGAAAAATTGATGTATAACTCGTCAGCCGAGTAGTAAATGTGCCGCGATTTTTTGCATGCTGTTTGACAAGAATGTATCAATGTTGACTTCCAAGTTTCATGCGATTTTTCGTTATTATAAGTCGGTTAGACCGCGGGAAAGATTGCAATTGTTGAATACTTAAGGTGGCTATATCTTGCAAACGGTAAAAACTGCAGAAATTATTTTAGGTGGTGCGGATAGAGTTCTATTCCCTCCTTCTTATTTACTATTTATCCAATCACCCGATGTCCTCAAAAGTGAGAGGCGATAATATTTGTTGGACCGTCTTTTTGTAACGAAGTGTTCAAAAATTTCAATCAATAATTGCAACGATTAGCTAAAAAAGCGCTTTTCAATTGGGATTAATTGTTGTGTAAAGTCAATTCCCTCATCATTTGTGGAATGTAATTCAATTTTTGGAAAATTTTTGGAGATTTTGTTGATGTTTCAGCTCAAAAATGATGCACTTTAGTCGAAAATTGAATTAGAGAGGCGAGAAGGAGATGTAAAATATACGAAGTTGCCGAGAAATCCGAGAAAATTTGCCTGAAAACTGGATTTTGGACGAAAAAACTAAATTTTTGGATCTTTGCTGGGTTTTTGGCCAAATTTCGCGAAAATTCTATGTTTTTTTTGTGAAAATGCAAAAAGAACATGTCCAGCAGGCTTGAAATTATCTCCATGTCGCGGGTCATATGGGAATTCCACTCGAGATTGATGGAATTTTAACTCAAAAACCAAAAAAGTCCGGCTCTTATGAAGAAACGGAAAAAAACATGGCCATTTCTGTGTATGGCCCGGCATTTGAACGCCCGAAGACATGTTCATGGGCTTGCCGGACCCGTAGAGAGTGTTTATCCGTTATTTATGGACTAAAATACAGTACCTTTCTGGGAGAATTTTGAGGGAAAATAAAAAAATTGGGCGGAGAAACGGAAAACATAAAATAAACATGGAATTATGCGAAAATGATGGGGTATAAAGATGAAATATGGGATTCGAAGCTATGATTTTGAGGTATAACGGGGAGTTATGGGAAAAGGAACGGTTTGAAATGGGAAAAACATTCTTTTTTGAGGATTTGGACATTGTTTTAGACGAAAATTACAATATTTTGGGTAAAAGTATGGGTTTAGGTGGATTTATAAGGGAGATTCGGATGTTTAAAGGTAGTATTGAGTAGATGGGATTGAATTTGAGGTATATTTTGTATATATACACCTATTTTTACTACATTTTTACCCAAAAAATGGGGTTTTTGCAAAAACTTTGCCGTAATTTCATTTTGAAAATTGCGTATGTTAAAAAATAAGCTTCGCTTATATCCCTCGACTATCCCCAACGTCCGCAGCCCCGTTTATTTGTGCGTGGGATGGCGGAACCGGAACATTGCCTCAGGCAAAATTAATTTATATCGGCCAAACTTGGAAATAAAAGTAATGTAAACTGTTCGACTTTCCCTCAGACGGGTTCAATTCGGGTTGCAGAAAATACGGCGGAATTTTTAATGGCGATTAGCGAACTTTAACTGTTGGAGTGGCCGTCCAGAAATATGTGAATTTTTTTGCAGAAGATTATGTTTGAATAGAAAATGTTGGTGCTTTTGGAGAGAATTCGCCTCTCTAGACTTGACGAGAAGCAGGGATATTCTTAGAAGGGACTTGAAACCTTCTTTGGACAGTAATTTATGTTGTAGTAGGTCTGCTGATGGATTTTGTCGATTTTGGGCAGAAAATTGGGGGTTTGATTGGTAATTTTGGGTTTTTTGGAGACTAGAATCTTCGGAGAAGGCTGAAATTGGCGGTTTGATTAGCAGAGAGAAGTTTAGTTGGAGTTATGGGCATCTATTTATATTATACTAGACAAATAAGGAGTCATTTATGATGGATTCGTTTTTCGTATAATTTATAATTTTTAAGCCTATTGACTCTTCTTATTTACGGATAGCTATAATATGACCTCACGGTTGGCTAGGAACGCCATTAGAACGTGTTTGGTACAGTCACACACACGTGTGTTATAGTGTTATCTTCGAAATGGTCATATGATCGGATAATGCCGTCGAGACAAACCAGTGGCTATATAAATTGCGTAGATTTTTCAATTTTTGCTTACTCCTTTGTTTTGCGAAGATATTTTCGCGGATCTTCAGCTACGATAAGCAAGATTCCATAAAATGCGTCATGATGACATGTTTTTAGGAGTGAGATATAGGGATGTTTTGTGGTTGAGCGAGTGTGTTATGAGCTGTCAGATATGAAAATAAATTTTTTTGTTTCTGGGAGACTGTAAACGGCATGTTATGCTCTTTGGGATGACGCATTTTCTGGAATGTTTTGTTTTTCCGTTATCAATTTTATGCCACGTTTCGCAACGACGTTGATAACCTGCAAAATTAATTGAGGAGGTTATAAACGTGTTGTTTTGAATGATCAGCCCTCATGATGTTTTCGCAGACGAAACTTTGTACTTGTCACGCTAATTTCATTGGGGAATAGAATAGTCTTTTCTTTCTCCACCACTGATATTCCTCCCACCATATTAGACGGCTTGAATAAGAACATTCTCGCCGAACACCCTTTTCACGCTCCCCTATTATCGAATGGAAAACGGTTTCCATTCAGAATGTTATGTTATTCATGGTTTGGAGTGGGCGTCTGAAGAAACCCCCTCCCTCCTTCGGGGATCGGCGGTTGAGGTGCTGGAGTCCAGAATTGGCTTAGAATGTTCGAGGAATAAGTCGGTGATCGGTTCTTCGTAACGGCACGGTGCGACGGGTAAATAAAGTCGGACTGCACTGTGCGGAGGAATTTATTTCGAAAGTTGAGCAGGGGAGAGAGGGTGGTTGGGGGAGATTGGTGGTTATAATGTGTGTTGTGGGTTACTGTAACGGATAAGGCATCAAATTTTTTCGTTTTTGAGGTTTGGACAGCACTGCGCGGCAAAATTTGGAGTTTGCACAGTGCAGTGAAAATTGAACTGTGTATTGTGAAGGTAATATTGGGTATGATGGTTGTGTTTTGTGGGTTTGAAGAACTTGTTGGGTTACTGTATCCACCGAAAAGATCAAATTTTTATTTTTGGCAGTTTGGACTGCACTGTGCGACAAAATTAAAATTCTGCACAGTGCAGTGGATAAAAAACTGGTTTATGTGCAAAAGAAGGACGAGACTGGGAATGTAGCGGCATTAGTAGTCCTGTCATGTCGTATTAGCCCTAAAGCAAACCAATTCTCCTTCCAAAATTTTTAAAAGGAGCGAAAATTTTGCAAAAATTTCTCTAGCACGGTTCGATTACCATATTTTTTGTGGCACAGTGCAATATCATCTCTATTTTGGATTTTGTTTTGTCGGTTGACCCTTGGGATTTCTTCTTATGACCTAAAGTCTCAATTTCCATCAAAACTCAATCCAGAAAACGGGTCTTGGCCTAGAGTTTCGCCCTCTGAAATTACAGAATAAGCCCTCGAAAACCGAAAAAGTGTGGGAATATTTGCGTCCAGTAACGCCCCGGCCTCTTCACATTGTCAAATATGGACTTTTGAGTTCGAGGTTTGGTATAAAAATTGAAATTTCTACGAAATTTTTTGTTTTTTTGAACTTTTTCGTGCGCAAATGAAATTAATCCGAAAATAGCTGCCAACGTCAGACAATGCCCATTATTGGGCTGTCATTTCGGCAGCAGAAAAAGTTGTGAAAGCACTCGTTATTCTCGGGTAGTTTTGGAAATTGGTTTTGGAAAGACAAAGAGGAAGAAAGGCTGTTTTTGGAGGGGAAATTCAAGTTGGTTTAGTTGGATTAGAATGTGGAATTGTAAAAAGTTGTAGAAAGTCATGTTTTAGAAGAGAAAATCTTCTGAAATACGATAAATATTTTGTAAAAAACGGAAAAGCTATTATGGTTAGCTGTTTTATAAATTTTTCACCAAGAAAACAGTGGTCATATTTACGTCGTTGGAGAGACCGTGAATCAACGCCCGAATGGCTAAATTTGGAATGTCGAAATGCGGTTTCAATTTTGAATATTGAAAAAAACTTCTGTAAAAAGTTCTAGAAAGTTGTATTTTAGAAGAGAAAATGGTTCTAAAATACGATAAATATTTTGTAAAATACGAATCTTGATTGTGTTGAGTTATTTTATAATTTTTCACCAAGAAAATCTAAAATAAAATCAAGAAATCTCTAAATTAATGCCCAAATAGAGAATTTGCAAGTTGAACTTGCAATTCGAAAGGAAAGTTTGTCAATTTGAGACGATTTTTGGGTAATTTGGACATTAATTTAAAGATTTTTTGATATTATTTTTGGTTTTCTTAATGAAAAATTTGTAAAAGAGCTAAACACAATCAAGTTCCTTATTTTACAAAATATTCATCGTATTTTAGAACCATTTTCTCTTCTAAAATACGACTTTCTGGAACTTTTTACAGAAGTTTTTTTCAATATTCAAAATTGAAACCGCATTTCGTCACTCCAAATTTAGCCATTCGGGCGTTGATTCACGGTCTCTCTCCAACGACGTAAATATGACCACTGTTATAAGCGCCTTAGGCAAAAGGATATTAATTTTTTTGGTTTTCGCAAAGTTTTATTCCGTTTTTAACTCCGAAAGAGGGTTAAATCTTTCATTTAGAGGCAGTCGGGGAGTGGAAGGCTGGACTCTTTAGATGGTTGGGGTTTATAAACCAGAAAAATGGTTGTTGGAGTACTAGTCGCGGCAAAAAGTCCTTAGAATTTTTCGCGGCCCCCAAATCTCATCGCACCCCGAAATGTTGATTTGTCGCGGGAATCGCGCGCGACAATAAGGCAAAAACAAGAAAATTGCACTGTGCAAAAGCACTTTTCGGGTTCATGCACAGTGCGGAGTCGCAGAAAATTCTAAGGACTTTTTGCCGCGACTAGTACAGTAACGGAAGATTTTAGTAAAGATTTTGGGATTTTTAGGGAATAATTTTAATTTTTTGAAGGATTTTTGCCTAAATTAATGTAAATTTTGGTATTTCGAATTTTTCTTATACATATTTTACAATATTTTTTGACTTTTTACTTCGTATTTTAGCTTCAGAAATTGTGTTTTTTACCCGATTTTAAAAAGAATTTCTTATTGTTTCCCCAATTTTCCCCTCTTTTTTGACCAAAAATTTTAATTTCTCCCATTTTCAGCTGACCTTCCACATCATTCAAGACACTAGAATGGCCGCCACCACCTCCAGTTGCATCCAGAAACAGCAGCGAAGCAAGAGCGAGTCGCGCCGCATCTGTTTCACGGAAGAACCGCCACAAGTTTTCGCCTACCCCGACGAGAACTTTGCCATGGAGCTGGGCGAGTGGAAAGAGGGCCGCCCCATCACCTACAACGAATACCAAAACATTGTCCAAACCGCGAACGAAGAAACCCAACATCAAATGAATCAACTGGCCCGCTGGCGACACCAAATGCAGCTGAAATACTCCGAGCAGGAGCGAGCATTGGAAGGTAAATTTATTTCTTGCGACTTTTTGGGAAAGCTTGTTTTTGCACTGTGCGAAAAATTTTTTCCAAAGCACTGTGCAATTGATGGAATGCACAGTGCAAAAATTTTGAATATACGTTTTTGCACCGTGCGGATTCAGGAAGTTGTTGGATGCACTGTGCATGGATTTGTCGCAAAGATTGCACAGTGCAAAATTTTTTTGAAAGATTTGGTTTGCACTGTGCGGGCGATTCTTCGAAAATGCACGGTGCGAAGTTTTGCGACAAACTTTTTGCACTGTGCGAAAGATTTTTTCCGACGCACAGTGCAATTGAATCTGTCGCACGAACGCACGGTGCAAAAATTTTTGCAAGATTTGATTTGCACTGTGCGGGTCAGAAAATTGTTGGATGCACTGTGCAAAAAGACGTTTTTTATCGCACAGTGCTTCGATTTGTCGCAGAGATTGCACAGTGCAAAAAAATTTTTTTGAAAGATTTGGTTTGCACTGTGCGAATTCCGAAAATTGTTGGATGCACTGTGCAAAAAAGCATTTTTTTCTGTGGCACAGTGCATGGATTTGTCGCGGAGATTGCACAGTGCAAAATTTTTTTGACTTAGTTTTGCACTGTGCGGGTCAGAAAATTGTTGGATGCACTGTGCAAAAAACATTTTTTTTTTTCTATCGCACAGTGCTTCGATTTGTCGCAGAGATTGCACAGTGCAAAAATTTTTTTGAAAGATTTGGTTTGCACTGTGCGAATTTTATAAAACTTTTTCTGCACTGTGAAAATCTTGCACGGTGCAAAAATCTTTTTGAAACGCACTGTGCATTTTTTTGTCGCAGGAATTGCACAGTGCAAGTTTTCTGAAAATAAAAATTTTGCACGGTGCGGTTTTGAAATTTTTTTCCGCACAGTGCGAAAATCTTTTTGAAACGCACTGTGCAATTTTTTGTCGCAGGAATTGCACAGTGCAAGTTTTCTGAAGATAAAAATTTTGCACGGTGCGGTTTTGCAAAATTTTTCTGCACCGTGCAAAAACAAAAACGTATTTTTGCACAGTGCAAATTTGTTGCTAGATGTTGCCTGACGTTTGTATTTGACCTAAAATCTTACTAATTTCACCTCAACTTTCAGACGCCGTCCACCAAATGAACCAAGCGGCCATAAACTCGGTGGCCAGCACCCCTCCCGCACCCCCACCCCCACCTCCGCCATCTAAATGGCCCCCTCCGAAAAGCCGTGCCAAAGATCCCTTATTTTGCGGAAATATTTATTCTCAATTATCATGTGATTAAGTATGCCCTCTTTTTCTCCCACCGAAACGTAACTTAGTTCATCATTGTAAATATACAGAATTTTATGTTGTGTTTTTCCGACCGAAATATTCGCATTTTTACTTGCTCAAATATATAAATATTTCAAGACATTTTTACATTTTTTTTTGATTTTTGAACCTGTCATCAAGACGTTTGAATATTTTAAGGCGATTTTTTACAAATTTTCGATAATTTTTTTTGATAAATTTGAATATTCAAATTAAAAAAATTTTTTTATTTAAATTTTGTCATCCCAAAATTCGCAAAATTTTCGATATTTTGGTCAAATTTTACTCAAAAAAAAATTTTAAAAACAACTAAAAATTGTCAAAAAATCAAAAAAATTTGGTCTAAAACAATAACCAAGCCGCGACCAATAACAAAATAGCGTTGTACTGGAGAGATAACGCGGACTTTGGAGCTGGTGTGGGAGTATTATCGCCACCATCACCAGTTGAGTCGGTCGTATCATCTTCTGGAGGCGTCGGCTCCGGAACCAATGGCCCAATCGTTGGCTCGAACGGTCGAGCCGGCTGATCCACCAATTCGGGCTCGTATTGACCTGAAAATAAAAGAATTAGAGGCAAAATAACAATTCTGCTTTTAAATTTTTTTTCTAATTTCCAAGCTTACTCAATAATCTCGCCGGTTCCGTGGAATACGGTATTTTCTCGCTGATATTCTTGTGGTTAATAAAGTTCTCCAGCAATTGCAACGAGGCCAGAGGTCGATCCAACGGGACGAAATGGCCACTTCCTTTGATTGTGACCAAATCCAAGGAAATTCCGTCGAATTTGAACTGTTTTCGGAAGCCGGCCACCGATTTTTTGCCATTTTTGGGGAGTTGGGCATACCAGGGATGGCGGGGGATGGTCACCTGAAAATTTTGGGGGGATTTATGTTGTAGTAGGATAAAAAATTTGATTTTTTAATATTCAAATTTTTTAATTAATTTTTTAAAATATTTCAAATTTTTATTAATTTTTTGAATATTCAAATTTTTAAATTAATTTTTGAATATTCAAATTTTTAAATTAATTTTTTGAATATTAAAATTTTTTAATTAATTTTTTTGAATATTCAAATTTTTTAATTAATTTTTTGAATATTCAAATTTTTTAATTAATTTTTTTTGAATATTCAAATTTTTCAAGCCAAAAATTGCAAATTCCTCACACTAGCCTCTCCTTTGTAATTCTGGCTCAATTTTTCCACAAAATATTCGGCTTCTTTGAAGCCGCACACCAGGTCCGTATCTCCATTATAAATCATCATCTTGAAGACATCCTTGTTTTCTTTCGCGTATTTTGAATCCAAGATATCATAGAACACTTGCGACATATCTCCATCTGCAGTGTTGAATTGCATGGTGTAGTTGTCGCCAATTCCGCCGCTGAAAATTTTTCGAAAATCAAAAAAATTGTAAAATCAAGTGAAAATTGCGGAATAAAATTAATTTTACAGAGCCAAAAATTATTTCAAAATCATTGCACTGTGCTCTTTCCAAAGCAACAAATTTATTTTTTACTGCACAGTGCAAAAAATCCAAAAAATCGATTTTTCACAGAATTAAACAGTAAAAATTAAAAAAAAATTTTTGAAACTTTTTAGACAGTGATGTCATTCGGTAAATCGCATTTCCAAATTTATTGCACCGTGCAATTTCCGAGAGATTGCATTTCAAAATTTTCTGCACTGTGCGGACGCCAAAATAGGCTAAAAAACGCGCCGCACGGTGCGAAAATTTTAAACCTCTAAATTCTTTCAATTTTTGCGTTATGCAAGCTACAGAACTATACTAGAAGAAATACTTACTGTGCAATCAATCAAATTAAATTGATTTTTCGCTGAAATTTCAACTATTCCCAGTCAAAATCGCTATTTACCTGCACATTTCCCAGTCCTGAACAAATTTTGGGACATGGATTGCTTCTCGGACGTGTTCTTGGTTCAAATAGTCGGTCATCTTGTCGAACACATAGCATCGAAGGCCTCCATTTGCGTCCGATGAGGCATAATTGATCCGCGCCCTCAGGGAGTGATGCGAAGCGGTGGCCAAATCTCCATCGAGATAGTGTTTTTGGGCCAAGGAAAGCGATTCAATCGATGATAAAAGTGTTTGCTGGGAATAAAATAGCGAAATTACATCTAATTTTACTGATTTTTTAGCCAAAAATTCAAATTTCAATTTTCCCGCTAACAATTTCAATTCTTGGCATTGTGCATCAAGTACCGAAAAAGCTGAGAAAGTGATTTTGCAGGTCCTAAAAACCCTTCTACTCGTTTTAGAGAGCATTAAAGGACCTTTCAAAAGCTTGCAACACAATGCCAAGGGTTTTGAAATCTGGCGGGAAATTCAAATTTCAAATCAAATTTTCGACTAAAAAATAGTCAAAAATAAATTAAAATTTTCATGAATGCTTTCTAGGCAACTAAAACTAATTTTACCCCACCTAAAACAGAATGCCAAGGGCTTTGCGATTTGGCGGGAAATTCAAAATTTCAAATTTATTTTGCCGCAAAAACGATTTTCAAAATAAGATGATCCTAAAATATCATCTAAATCCATCAAGAACACAATTTTATTTTCCCTTGCAACACAATGCCAAAAAAATTCAAAATTTCTTTCCAAAACCAAACTTTTCGTATAAAATGTCGCCTACCTTCACTCCATTATCGCGTTGCATGAGGACCGACTTGCCAGTGTGTTCGTAGCACTGTTGAATCAGATTGTACGGGTCGAAACTCTCGATGCTCCACAATTCTCTCATCTTTTTATCGCAAGTTTCGGTCAAATTCACGGGCATTGGGCAGAGTTCGGTTTTCGAGTCGGGACAACACTCCTTCCGGATCGAAAGGAACTCTCTGAAAGACAAAATCAGGTATTATAACAAAACTTGGAAAAGAATTTGGCATTTTTTCGGCTTACTTTTTACCAATGAGACCATGTGTGTAGCTGTAATCGACTCTAGTGGCGCGCTGAAAAGAAAAAAATAGTTTTTTTGTCCATAAACATTGATTTACGGTCCAATTGCACTGTGAAGAACCAAAATTTTGCAAAATTTTATACCTTTTTTGACAATATTTACCTACTACAATATAAATTGATGTCCAAAAATTCTTCAATACAAACAAAAATTCATTCAGAAGCCCATATGTGACCTTAGCTTTCGATAATGTTCCGTTTCTCCTCATTTTTACTTACTATAATACAAAAAAATCGCAAAATTTTTGCCTACTACAATATAAATTAATATCCAAAAGTGCAGAAAATGATCCTAAATAATAACCACAGTTGCCAAAGTTCCTAAAACTCCCTAAATTTTTCATCTTTACACTACTACAATATAAAAAAAGTAAAAAAATTATATCTACTACAATATAAATTAATGTCCAAAAGTGCAGAAAATGGTCCTAAATACTATCCACAGTTGCCCAAGGGCCTAAAACGCCCTAATTTTTTTACCCCTAGACTACTACAATATAAAAAAAATCAAAAATTTATGTCTACTACAATATAAATTAATCTCCCAACCCGCTCAAAACCCTTCCCAAGCCCATTCAATCCCCTCAAAATTGCCAAAACTCTCCAAAAAATTCATTCTTACCGCTCCTTCGACGCTCACATACGGATTTCCAACCAAAAATCCTTTAAAATCCAGTGGTACCCCATAAAAAATGCCTCGATTCTCCTTGTCCAGCTCCTGAAGAATCCTCCTCGTCAATGCGGGTACATAAACGCCCGCATAGCTCTCTCCAGTGATATAAAAATCATTTTTGATTTCGTAAATTTTCAAAAATTCCCTCAGGGCAAGGAGAACATCCTCCGTAGACTTTTCATCATTGAAATTGGTGTCCTTATTGTCCTCATGGTCCTGATACGAGAAGCCGACGCCTCGCGGAGACTCAATGTACAGCACATTGGCCACTTTGTTCCATGAGAACACGTTCTCGAACAGCGTCTGCCCGTCCGGATTCACGTAAAATGGGCCATTCTCGCCGAAGAGCGCGCCCAAAGACGAGCAGCCCGGTCCGCCGGTCAGCCACAGGAGCAGGGGGGCGTTTTTCTTTTGACTTTCGACAAACCTGAAAGAAAGAGGGGCACAAATGGGGAAAAAATAAAAAAATTTGGTTTCGGCACAGTGCAAAAAATATCTTTTTTTTTAGCGTGCACAGTGCGTAGTAAAAAAATTTTTGTTCGCATTGTGCAAATAAAAATTCAAAAATTTTGCACCGTGCAAACAAAAATTCAAAAATTTTGCACCGTGCAAACAAAAATTCAAAAATTTTGCACTGTGCAAATAAAAATCAATACTAAAATTTTGCACAGTGCACAAAAATTCAATGCTAAAATCTTGCACTGTGCAAAAATCCAGAAATTTCGCACTGTGCGAAAAAAATCAATCCTAAAATTTCGCACCGTGCGAAAAGAATGAGCACTAAAATCTCGCACAGTGCAAACAAAAATTCCGCACCGTGCGAAAAACATCTATACTTAAACTTCGCACGGTGCAAACAAAAATTTGGAAGATTTGCACTGTGCAAAAAAATCAATACTAAAATTTCGCACTGTGCAAACAAAATTCGAAAATTTTGCACTGTGCGAAAAAAAATAAATACTAAAATTTTGCACCGTGCACAAAAATTCAACATTAAAATTTCGCACTGTGCAAAAAAAATTGAGAAATTTCCCACCGTGCACAAAAATTGAACATTAAAGTTTCGCACTATGCAACGACAAAAAATTTTAAAAAATCACCATAAACAAATTTTACCCACTTCAACTACAATGTCTGCTTCTGCGTATTTTACCTTCAATTTTCCCCCAAAAATCTCATTTTTTTCTTACCAATAATGAAGGTAATTTCCCTTGGAGACATTCAAATATCCAGAGTGTTGCTCGAATTTGGGCTGGAAAGTGAGGCCGGGCAGGTTGAAGATCTTGTCCATGGCTCGGCGCGGGGCTGAAATTTTGAGTATCGATCAGAAAATTGAAAAATTTAAAAAAAAAATTTGTCAAAAAAATTTTTAAATATGCTGGAAAATAGGAATAAAACATAAAAAAAAAATAATTTTTTTTTCCGAAAAATAAATAAGTTCTAAAATGCTGTAAAAAATACCTCAAAAACTTCTAATCTCAATTTTTTCCCTTAAACATTTTTTTTTAAATAAAAGAATTCGTATTTTACGCAATAAATTCAAAAAAAAAATAAAAAAAAAAAAAAAAAAAAAAACTCAAAAATTCCCAAAAAAACTCACGCTTTGGTATGTACGAAGCCGACGGCTTGGCCGGCAATAATTTCAGATCCTCCCAACTCAGCGGGGTACTGTAGTTAATGCGGGCGGAGTTTTGGCGAACAAAGTTTGCGATCATTTGCAGGGCGATGGGAGCGCGGTCCTGCGGGACGAAATGACCGCCTCCTTTGACGGTGAGAAAGTCCAGAGAGGTGCGATTGTTGCGGAATTGGCGGACGGTGCCGGCCATTCGCGGGAAGTAGAGGCCGGAGGTCTTCTTGGGCTCGGAGAAGGTCCAGGGCTCGGCCGGCTTGGGCAGGAGGCCTCTTTCTGTGGCTAGTCTGAAACGAACGGCTCAGAAATTCATCGTATTTTACAATTATTAAAGATTTTTTTTACGATTTTTCAAATTTCCAAAAAATAAGTCATCATTACATGTTTTGTTTCTCATTTTTTCAACATTAAACTTCGCCATGGGACTTGTTATGGCACTCAGAACGTAACAAATTTTTATCCGCCCAATAGATGACCAAAATCCAGGAATTTTTTGGATATTCCAGAAAATGCGTCATAATGACTCATTTAATTACTATTGTTTTCGATGTATTCTCTATCAGCAAGAATTATCATGCGTTCAAAAAGCCGTTTTATTTTTATCGCTCTTTAAAATCGTCAAATTCCCTCAATTTTCCCAAATTTCCAGAAAATCCGTCATGATGACATCTTCAATTACTCATTTTATCCCAAAACTTTTTACTAGCCTGTGTTCTACGTTCTAAAGCAGCCATATAAAAAATTTTCAAACGGTAACATCCCCACTTTAGGTGACATAATTAATGTCATCATGACGGATTTTTTGGACTTTTATAAAAATCGAAGAAAACCAAAAATCAGCTCCAAAAATGAGCTTACCGATAAAGAAACCATTCATTTCCAAGGTATTCACAGGCCAAATCCGCGTCTCCATTGTAGACCAGCGACTTGAAATTGGTGATTTTCAGTTTTTCCAGCAAATCCAAGATCTCGTCCCAGACGGGGCGGGTGTCATGGTTCTGTTGGATGTAATTTTGGTTCATTTCATCACTAAATTGAATCAAAAAAATTTTATTTTCCACTCACTTGCAGCCTTCCCATTTGATCTCTCGATTCACATGTATCAACTTCTTGATTGCGGCTTTGTTCAGGAATTTCTCGGTCACTTCGCTGTCGTAGCATTCGAATCCGCCATGGGCGTCGGTCGAGTGTTTGTTGTAGAGTTTCTGAAGTCAAAAGTTTGATAAAAAATCGATAAAAAATTTGCACTGTGCAATAAAAAATAAATCTTTTTTCTGCACAGTGCAATCGAAAAAAATTAAAAAATTTATTTCCTCGGGCATAAATAAGATCAAAGTTTTTCTTTTTTTCTACTGTGCCGAAAATTCTCATACATTTTTGACATGAAAAAAAATTTTTTACTTTTAACCGCACGGTGCGATCCAAAATTAGAAAATCCTTTATCGCACCGTGCAAAAAAGAGAGAAAAATAAAAAATGCCCTGAGGCAATAGTGAAGACCAATATCCTCCTCTTCGGACACTATTCCAAAAATTTCTTCACAGCTCCACTGCACAGTGCAAAAAAGTTAAAAAAACCCTTGCACAGTGCAAAAAATAAATGAAAAACAGCTTGCACAGTGCATAAAAAAGTAACAAAATTTCGCTTTCCGGGCCAAACCAAACATAAAATCTATCATATAGAAAACCCCAATAACTATTTCTTAAAAATCAAACCCAACTTCAACAAAAAACTCACTGCTTCATCAACAAAAGTGTAATCTTCGGAGAGGCCGAGTTCCTTGAATCCGGCTGACCTTTTCGTTCTGAACACTTTCTTTCCTGCTGCTGCATTCACTACTGACTTGAAGGATGAGGAAGCGTCGTCTTTGTAACAGTCTTGGTAGCTGTTGTACACCGATACTCTGAAATTTTTTAAATCGGAAATTTTTATTGAGGTACTACTAAATGTTGCTTAATTTTTACCTCGTGCTATATAGTACCACCTCGTACTATGCAGTACCAAGCGCTAAAAACATGTTTTTTGAGCAGTACTGTGCACCAAACCAACTGCATTAACAACTGAAGGCATCATTTTTAATTGTACTATCTATTATATTATAGTATCAAGGCCTAACCTTCAACATCGTATTTTACAATCAAAAATAACTAACTAAAATACGGTAGAATGTAATAAAAACCATTTAGAAGCCAAATTCGATCATTTAAAATTCAAATTTTTGAATTCCCGCCAAATTTTAGAAATTTTGGCATTCCGTTGCAAGGCCGATTTTTGATGGAAATGGCTTAACAGCGATCCTACAAGTCTCTACAGTATCAAAGCAACAAATAAACTCTACCAAAGCACCTCTAAAACCTCAAAAAATCTCCAAATTTTGTCAAGTGTAATATAAAAAGTATTGCCCAAACGGTAGACAAACCAGTTCAAATTGGTTAAATAAAACCTACGTTGACTCCCAAATCTTCCAGAAGCCATACTGATCCACCAGCTCAGCACAACGCGCTGATTTAGGGTCTTCAAAGTGCCTTGGCTCCGAATCCCCGTTCTCCTTGAAGTGGACGTAACTGCTCAGATTACACTCTTCTGGACGTCTGGTATCGTTACAACATGAGAGAATCTCTTCGTAAGTCCTGTAAGGTCGAAATTAAACTTTTCTAATTTTGCATGATTGCACAGTGCGAAAAAATTTAAAAAAAATGAAGTAAATACCAAAACATTGAATAAAAAAAGGAAAAAACATACTCTCTGTCGTAGAATCCTCGGTAATACATCAGATGGACAGCGGAATTGACCTGGTCAAACCTGCTGAGCATTCCGTTTCCAATCGCAAATCCTTTCAGGTTGAGGTCTTTCATTGGGGAATTGGGGGTCTAAAACAGAAATATTTTAATTTTGAGACCCGTAAAAAAGCATGGGGACAAACAAAATTCAAAAAAAAAAAAAAAAAAATCAAAATTTCACTTTCGAAAAACTCGATTTTTTTTCATTTTTACCGCACTGTGCAAAAGATAAAAATGTTCAATGCACAGTGCAAAATAATAAAAGTCAGAAAAATTTAAATTTAATCCCGAAATTTCCGTTCGGACGCATAATATTGCGTAAAAAATCATCAAAATTCGTTGCACACTGCAAAAGCCCCAAATATTTTAACCGCACAGTGCGAAAATTAAAAATCTTTACTGCACAGTGCAGAATTGGAAAAATAAAAAATTTCAAACCAATTTCGCCTCAAAATTTCTTGTTAATCCATGACACAACAGCATGGCCATCATACTGCTCTGCACAGTGCGAAAATTTCAAGCGCTTGGCACCGCACAGTGCAGCGTCAAAAATCTTTACTGCACAGTGCAGAAATCAAAAAATCCAAAAATTTCAAAAAGATTTCGCTCCAAAATTTCTTGTTAATCCATGACACTACATCATGGCCATCACACTTCTCTGCACAGTGCAAAAATTTCAAAAGTTTTTGACCGCACTGTGCAAAACCAAAAAATTTCCGCAACGTGTCTAAAAACGTAAAAAACCAATAAAAAACCTTACCGTTTTCCTTCTCAAAATTTCCCTGACCAAAGTTGGGACATAAATCCCGCCATAACTCTCGCCAGTAACATAAAACGGTCGTCCTTTGAACTCGGGAAATCGTTCCAAGAACTTCTCCAAGGCATTCGCGTTTTCCGCCGCGGTTCGATCATCATCATACGGCTCGGTTTTGTTCGGATTCGACGAATACGAGAAGCCGACGCCTTGCGGCGCCTCGAGGAACAAAACATTCGCGACTTTGGTCCAGGAGAACCGATTCTGATCCAGTCTTTGGGCATCTCTCGTGGCATGGAAGAGGCCGAGCTCCTTGAAAAGCCCGCCCAACGACGAACAGCCGGGTCCGCCGTTCAGCCAGAGGATTAGAGGCGCGCTGGGGTCGGTGTTGTGCCGACTCAGCCAGTAATGCAGATGCACGTCGTCGCGGGCGTTCAAATACCCCGACCATTGGGGAGGCGCGTCTTGGAAGGTGAATTCGGAGGTTGTGAAGCGAATAAGGTCCGCACTCGCACTTCCAGGCTTTGGAGGAGGGAGCACGGCACTTTTTTTGACGAGATTTTCTATTTTCTTGTCATCTCGAGGTCTCCGCCGTTTATAATATTCATTGGCGGCGGTGATGTGAAGATTATCCCGAGAGAACAGGTCAAGCGGACTGACATTCCCAACAGCATCAGCAAACTGAAAAGAAATCAGTCTTTGATGTCTAAAGTAATACAGGGTGGGACTGGATCCTATGGCAAAAACGTCCCATTTTGCATCCCGGAAGGGACCAAAATGTCTCCAAATACCTCCCTTGTTTAAGCTAAAAAACCCCGTTTTGAAAGGCCCGCCTTGAAGGAAATGGTGCGCTTTTCAAAACGGAGTTTTTTAGCTTAGAGAAGGGAAGGGTTTGGAGACATTTTGGTCCCTTCCTGGATGCAAAATGGGACGTTTTTTGCCACTGGATCAGCTCCCTCACTGTAATACAGAGTAGACTTGGCTGCAGGGCTGGGCCGGCCCGGGCCGGTGTTCGGGCCGGGCCGGGCCGGGCCAAAGCAAAATTGAAACGGGCCGGGCCGGGCCGACCTCCTCAGGCCCGCGGGCCGGGCCGCAATTTTCGGCCCGGGCCGGCCCGGCAAAATTAAAGTTCTGAATTTCAAAGCGAAAAGTTGGGTTGCCAATAAAATTAGAACGCAAAGCCAATAATGGGGTCGACATTTTTCATACAGTAAGTATAATTTTATAAAAATAAAGCAGGGAAGTATTCAAAAATCATTAATAATAAGTAATTTTACTATAGAAAAATCTATGAAGAAGTAAAGTATATCAGTGTTTGTAGTAATTGTTTGAGCAACTACCCAAAATAAACGTAATCGACATCTTTCTAAACACAATTAGGAAGTCGTCTGAAGTAACACTATCATCTGAAAGTTGGAAATCTGACGAAAAATTTGATAAAATTGGTTCCACCTTTACTGAATCTATAAAATTCATCTTGGGACAATTTTTAATAGTCTGAAAAAGTACCTCGGTAAATTTTTGATTAATTTTAACAAGGCAATGCGATGGTTGGTTATTTTTTGCTTTAAAAAATTGATTGTTAGTTGCTTGAATAAAGAAAAGTATGTCTTTTCTAATAGCGTAGGAAGGTTTTTTATTTTTCCTTAATTTTCGGGCCGGCCCGGGCCGGGCCGCGGGCTGGGCCGGGCCGGGCCGAAGAAAAATTGAAACGGGCCGGGCCGGGCCGACCTCTTCCGGCCCGCGGGCCGGGCCGCGATTTTCGGCCCGGGCCGGCCCGAGAGCCATGTCTAATACAGAGTGGGGCATCTTTGTGGCCCGATTTGAATTGGCTATAACTTCTTCAGTTTTTTGCCAAATCTTAAAATTCTTTTTTCCCCTGAATCCCCAGACAACCCCATTTTGTTTGATACCAAATATGTTATACAGGGTGACCCAAAATAACGGAGACAAAAGATTTCCCGTTTTTTCTGCGACTTATTAAGATTCATGAGTGACTCCTTATTTAGATTACAGTATCACGTTAGGGTAGTTTTATTTACCGATAGTTTTGTTGTACGACGCTCGTCTGTCTAGAACGACATGAATATATCCGGTTGACTCGGACCCTTCTGCTCGTGGGGTCTTTTTACAAGAAAGCTGCCTTACTCAAAAAAGAAAACTCGGAATAGTTTGAGATGTGCAGTGATTAATTATCGTAATAAGACCTTTAAAATGACATAGGCAAGTGTCATCTGCAGTTATTGGATTTATTCTTGGAGTTCATTTTTTCGGGCGTTTCTCGGTTGTTTTTTCGGTCTTTCCCGGTGTGTCCAAAAATGGAGTATAACAAATTTGGTATCAAACAAAATGGGGTTGTCTGAGGCTTCAGGGAAAAAAAGAATTTTAAGATTTCGCCAAAAACTAAAGAAGTTATAGCCAATCCAAATGGGGCCACAAAGACACCCCACCCTGTATAACTTTTGATTATTTTTTTTGATTTATAGATAAAATTGTAAAATAAGCATAATTTTTTAACATCTTTTTCGTTGTTCTTACACATTTTCTACCCCTAAATCAAAAAAAAATAATTTTTTATGTATTATACCAACTGACCTTCTCCTTGATCTGATAGGCTTCTCGAAGTGGTTTCTCCTTTGTTATGACAGTAATCTCATCGCTGTAGTCTTTTTCTCCAATAAAGTTGTTGATCATTTGCAAAGATGCCTCTGGGCGATCCAATGGGACCAAATGCCCCGCCCCTTTCACTGTCAACAAGTCGATGCTGACTTTTTTGTTTGAGAATTGCTTCTCATATCCCGCGATTTGACCTTTGACGTTCCATGGATTGTATGGCCGAGAGGTCTTGAGGCCGTGTTTTTTGGCCACTCGTTCCACTAGCCATTGGTCACCGAGGAAGTTACAGGCTGAAAAAGAAACTTTTTTTGGTGGGTTTATAGTATCTTTTCGTCACTTCATGCATAAAAATACTGCTTTTTGAGCGTTTAGAAACAATCCAATTTTTGCACGGTGCGAAAAAATCAGATCTTCCATTGCACTGTGCACTGACAGGAATTTGGAAATTTTGCACTGTGCAAACAATGTTGGTGACAGATTGCACAGTGCAACCTCAAAAAATCTAATTGCACAGTGCAAATAGAAGATTTAGGATTTTTACTGCACTGTGCGGAAAAACTAGGTGTTTTGTTGCACTGCGCCATGAAAAAATTGTAACTTGAGGCACTGTGCATTATAAAACGAAAAATTTTCGTGATTGCACAGTGGAATTTTTCCAAAAATTCAACTGCACAGTGCGAAAAGTAAAATTTTTCATTTTGCACCGTGCAACTCAAAAAAAAAGGTTTCACTGCACTGTGCCGCGAAAAAATCATGGATTGATGCACAGTGCATGATAAGATGAAAAATTTTTGTCTTCCAAAAATTCAACTGCACAGTGCGAAAATAAAATTTTTTAATTTTGCACTGTGCAGTCGGTAAAAATACTTGAATTTGGAAAAATTTGTTGTAGAAGGATTAGAAACCCTCCATAAAAACAGTCTTATCCACATACCCAGGTCAGTGTCTCCGTTATAAATCAAAACTCTCAACGGGTATTCGGACTCAATTATCTCGTCAAAAACTGGGCCTGTGTCATTATGCTGTTGCTGATAGTTCTGATTGATGGTGTCGTTACAAGGATGCCATGGCTGGACGTAACTCGGGACATTAAGGGCCTTTCTCACATCTTTGGATTCCAGCCATTTTTCGGCTGCGGCGTTTGCGTAGCAGGTGAATCCTCCTTGATTATCGGTGGAAAAGATGTTATTAATCGTGTTCACTCCGAACTGACCATTGACAGGCGGTTCTGAGGACTAAAAGAATTGATTTTTTTGAGTTTAGGAACAGATGTCTAGTGTAATATAATTTTATATGAAAAAGTGAGTTTTTGGTGGAGATTTGGGTTGAACTAAACATATGATAAAGTCTGACACTCATTTTATTGTTTTTATTATTTTTAAATAACGTATTTTACCCTAACGCCATCAAAAATTCAGCTTAATTTTTTTGGTTTCGCAGAGAAACCCTGAAATTTGTGGCATTCTGTTTTAATAGCCAAAATGGTCATCTAAGGTGAATATTAAATCAGCACTAAAACTACTGTATTTTGATATGAAATAGGCCCCGCAGCAAAAACCTGAAGTTTGTGGCATTCTGTTTTCAGGGCCCAAATGATCGTCTAAGGTGAATACGCGCCCTATACTTTGTGAATCAGAAGTAAATCTGCCATATTTTAACATGAAATTGGTCCCGCAGCGAAAACCTGAAGTTTGTGGCATTCTGTTTTAATGGCTAAAATGGGCAAAAAATGACAGAAAATACTCGTTGAAAGTAAAATACTGCCTTCTAATATGAAACAACATGGCAGAGCACGTATTTTACCCAAAATCTTACCCTAGCCGTCATCCAGCCGGCATATTTGTTTTTCATCGTCTCCAAACTCCCGAACACCGCTTCCTTTTGTTGATAACAGTCCTGCAGAATGTTGTACACATTGTTTCCCTTCAAAAACCACTGTCTTTGAGCCAGTTTTGTTACAGTAACCGAACACGCGTCACTCGAATTTCGCGGATTCGCATCGCCCGAGGAGTTCACATAAATAAATTTGGTGATATCGCATTCGGCGAGATGGTTGTAGTCGCCCTCACAGCACGAGAAGTACTGATCCCATTCGGATTTGTCGATCAGCGCCCGATGGTAGAGTAATGGGGCGTTGGAGCGCATCTGCTCGATTGATGAGAGAATTCCGTTTCCGACCGCCATTCCGACGAGATTCACGTCCTTCATGTCACCACTTTGAATGCCCTAAAAATATGCGGTAAAAAAAGATTTTTTATTTTTGCACTGTGCAGCAGATTTTGAATTGGTTTTCTGCACTGTGCGGTGGGAAAAGGGGGCAATGAATAATGTGAAATGAAAAAATTGGTCGATTTTTTTATTTGATTATGTTTTTTAAAGTAATTTTTATATGCTCAGTGCGAAAATTTCCAAGTTTTGTTTTTTGCACAGTGCAAAAATTTCCAACGTTTGTTTTTTGCACTGTGCAGCAGATTTTGAATTGGTCTTCTGCACAGTGCAGTGGGAATGGGTGACACTGAGTAATGTGAAATGTAAAAATTGGTCGATTTTTTTTATTTTACACTATTTTGGCAATAATTTTTTCATGCACAGTGCGAAAATCTCCAACTTTTGTTTTTTGCACTGTGCAGCCAACTCTGAAGTGTTTTTCTGCACCGTGCGGTGGGAAAGGAGGATACTGAGTAATGTGAAATGTAAAAATTGGTTGATTTTTTAATTGACACTGTTTTTGAAAGTAAATTTTCCCTGCGTAGTGCGAAAATTTCCAACTTTTGTTTTTTGCACTGTGCAGCAAACTTTGAGGCAATTTTTACACGGTGCAATGAAAAACATGGCTTAGAAACGGTCTAATATTGAGCAGACAATACCTAGTTGTATTTTCAATTTATTTTTAGGCCGATTTTTCCTCTGCACTGTGCAAAAAATCCAGACCTAAGCCTCCGCACTGTGCGTTTTTAAAAATCGGATTTTCTGCACTGTGCAAAAGAAAAATTGGTCAAATAAAATTGCACAGGGTATAAACCGGCTATTTTGGGTTAGTACGCAAAAAGATTAGGGTATATTTGTTGCCACATCGAGCAAAAATTTGAAAAATTTCCATCGCACAGTGCAAACTTAAAAAATTCAATTTTTGCACCGTGCAAAGAGGAAAATCATTGAATTTTGTTTTGTAAAATACGCTCGTTAACCTTCATCCTTACTTTAATAGTTCTGGCAGTCAAAGTCGGGACATACACACCACCATAGGACTCTCCCATGATATAAAAATCTCTTCGTTTGAACTCCGGATATTCCTCGAAAAAGTCTTTCAGGGCTTGATAATTATCCTCAGCGGTCTTTTCATCGCTGTAAGTGTGATCTTCGTTTTCCGTGGCGTTCTGATATGAGAACCCAACATCTCGTGGGCCTTCGAGGAAAAGGACATTCGCCGCCTGAAAATGAGATTTTTTGACAGAAAAAAAAAATTTTTTTTTTAATTTTTGATTTTTTCAATTCAAAAATCTGTGAAAAAAATTTTTTTTTTTTTAAAAGAATCAAAAAATTTTATTTTGAATATTTTTTTCAAAATTTTTTTGGTTAAAAATCATAAAAATCTTTGATTTTATTCGAAATTTCAAAAATTTTTTTTTTATTTTCACAATCCAAAAAATCTGGAAAATTTTTTTTTTTCAAAAAAATCAAAAAATATCATTTTAAATATTTTTTTTCAAATTTCTTTTCCGTCAAAAAATCATAAAAAATTTTGAATTTTCTTTAAAATTTCCAAAAAATATCTTTTTTTTACTCTTTAAACCCCCTAATTTCCTCACCTTATTCCATCCAAACACATTTTCACTCAAAGTCAGACCATCCGGATTTGGTCGGAAAGGCCCCAATTCAACCAGTAGCCCCATCAAAGACGAACAGCCAGGCCCTCCATTCAGCCACAAGATCAGTGGATCATTTCTGGGGTTGTTTTGAGACTTCACCAGCCAATAATGCAAGTAATTTCCCTTGGTCGCCCTCAGATAGCCACTGTATTGCTCAAATTTGGGGTCGTAGGTGAGTCCGGGGAGGTAATGAATGCGATCCGCTTCTTTTCGAGAGACTGAAATTTAATTATTAATCAGTTTTTAGTCCAATTTTTTTCATTCCCTACGAAGTTTTTTTTTCAAAACTGCACAGTGCAAAATAAAAAAAAAATCAATTTTTGCACTGTGCGGTAAAGGAAATTTTGAAAAATTTTGTAAAATACGAAGGGGCATACTCTAGGAGAGTAGTAAATAAAAAAATTGTACAACTTTTGTTCCATTCTCTGTGTAAAAGTCCTATGTTTTTGACATGCACAGTGCAAAACAAAAAAATTCAATTTTTGCACGGTGCGGTAAAGGAAATTTTAAAAAGTTTTCAAAATATGAAAGGGTCTACTCTAGTCTAAAAGGTAATGCCAAAAAAATGCAAATTTTCTTCCATTCTCTATGGAAACGTTACATTTTTTTGAGTTGCACAGTGCAGAAAATCCCATTTTTTCAATTGCACAGTGCGGTGAAGACAATTTTGAAAATTTTAGAAAATGCGAAAGAGTGTACCCTAATCGAAAAGGTAATGCAAAAAATATGCAAATTTTCTTCCATTCTCTATGGAAACGTTACGTTTTTTTGAGTCGCACAGTGCAGAAAGTCCGATTCTTTCAACCGCACAGTGCAAAATAAAAAAAAATAGATTTTTGCACGGTGCGGCGAAGGAAATTTTAAAAAGTTTTCAAAATATGAAAAGGTCGACTCTAGTCGAAGAGGTAATGCCAAAAATATGCAATTTTTGTTCCATTCTCTGTGTAAACGTTACATTTTTTTGGATTGCACAGTGCTGAAAACCGATTTTTTCAATTGCACAGTGCAAAACAAAAAATTTAATTTTTGCACGGTGCGATAAAGATAATTTTGAAAAATTTTGCATAGTGCGAAAGAGTGTACTCTAATTGAATAGTAAATGCCAAAAATATGCAAATTGTTTTTGTTTCTTATGTAAAAATCCAATGTTTTTGAGCTGCACAGTGCAGGAAATAAAAAATGAAATTTTCGCACCGTGCAAAAAAATTTTTTTTTAGTTTATGCTACAGGATTTTAATTAAGCTATACACTAAATTACTCGTATTTTACAATCCATTTTTCTTACTTTTCTCCGGGACTTTTTCCAAATATTTGTTTCGAATTGGATATCCCGTTTCGTTGATGCTCACAGCGTTTCCATAGTTATCCTCGGCCCTCAAAAAGTTCTCAAACAGCTGGAAAGCGGGTCCAGGCCGATCCAACGGGACCATGTGGCCAGCGCCGGCGACTGTCACAACATCCAGCCGGATATTCTCCAAAGCCAAAGTTTTTTGGAAGCCCGCATAAGTTTTATTGAAGTCGTTTTTGGTGTACACCCATTCGGTTCGTTTGGATTTGGCGGTCCAGTTGAATGGAAGCTCGTCGACGAACCATTCCGTTCCCAAGAAGTTGCAAACTCCGTCAGCGTCACCGTTGTAAAACAAAATATGCAAATTTTTGCTGGATGCGAAGATTTCTTTGAAAACTTCGGTCGTATCTTGGTAGGTTTGGAGGTAGACTTCGTTCACGTAGTCGCTGAAATATATTGGAATAAGTTTTTACAAGTTTTTAGGCCGAAAAAGATGAAAGAAAGACTTGGCTCAGTTCTGGGACAAGTGTTTCCCTCGGTAAAAAAATTAAAAATTGGGAAAATGTTTTTCGCATAGAAATAAAAATGCTTTTTCTTAGAAAACTTATTTTTAGAAAAAATGATTTTTTTCATAGAAAAAAACATTTTTATTTTACAAGGAAAGTACTTTTATGGGGGCTCCTACTTTTTGACGGGACATATCTCAAAAAATCAGAAAAAATGTGCTGATCAAGGATATATAAATCTTAGCTGCCCATTTTGGGCTTTTAGGGGTGAAAATGGCCAAAAACTGGCTCAATTTCCCTACAAAAGGCGCATGCATTCGAAACGATAAAAAGCGCAGTCGGTCTCTTCCTTCGGAAGAGAGCGGTGTGGCCGAGTGGTTAGTGCCGTAGTCTGGGAATCAAGAGGGGGAACGCCGCACGGGTTCGATTTCCCTTTTGGGCTGAATCAACTTTTTTGAAGATGAAGGTCGGAAAAATAAATTTTTGGGCCAAGACTGATTTATTACGTCTTAGAAACTCAATAAACATCATTTTAAGCCAAAAATAAAAATTGTAAACCCGTGAAAAATTAGGCGAAAAGGGGTTCATATAGGACTTTAAGTCAACTTCCGATTGAGTTTTCACCCCTAAAAACCTAAAATGGGCAGCTAAGATTTATATATCCTTGATCAGCACATTTTTTCTGATTTTTTGAGATATGTCCCGTCAAAAAGTAGGAGCCCCCATAAAAGTACTTTCCTTGTTAGAAAAGAATGGTTTTTCCTTAGAAAGTGCAACTTTTAGTAAATTTGTGTATAATAAATAACAAAAATTGATTTGAAACAGTAACTAGTAGTAAACTTTGTTAAGTAATGGGGTAAAATAGTAAGAGTAGTAACTTTTTGAGTGGATATGAATTTGTTTGGAGTTATATAAGGGTAAACCCAAGTATGAGCAAGAAATCGATTTCAACCGACATTGAGGCATAAACAATACAAATTGTTACTAATTTACAGTACTACTTAAGAAAAAAGTCAAAATCACAAAAAACAAGCTATGTTTTCGAAATCAGCACCATCGAATACCCCAGTCCCCAATATCCACTCAAAAAGTTACTACTCTTACTATTTTACCCCATTACTTAACAAAATTTACTACTAGTTACTGTTTAAAATTTTTTTGCTATTATTATACACAAGTTTACTAAAAATTGCACTTTCTAAGGAAAACCCATTCTTTTCTAAAATAAAAATGTTTTTTTCTATGAAAAAAATCATTTTTTCTAAAAATAAGTTTTCTAAGAAAAAGCATTTTTATTTCTATGCAAAAAACATAGACCCTTAAAAATTCGTTAAAAAATAATTTTTTTGGTATGTTAACGGTCAATTTTTTTTAAAATACGTTCTTTTTGCGTCAGAGGAACACTTGACACGTTCCTGAGTCAAGTGTTCCTCTGACCCTTGAAAGCTCGAATTAACAATTTCAATCTATTTTTTGGGCAAATTAGAATATTTTCAAGCACTTACTCGCAGTTCTGCCATGTGCCTTCCACATGAAGAGCTTTCTGAACTTTTGGGTCATTCAGATATTTGGAAATTGCTTCTCCTTTGTAACAAGTGAATCCACCACTGGCATCTGATGACAAGGGATTTATGAGGGCCTGAAAACATTATGTTTGACTCAAAAAAAACTTATTTTTTGATTGAAAAAAATTTGCCGAGTATCGGGTCAAGTCTTTCCATTGAATGAAACACTTGACTCAAAAAAAGAAGAGTTGACTCAGAATTCAAGGATAATTGGGAAGGGGCATTCAGCTTTAGTAATACATTGATTTTTGAAAAAATTTGGCCATATCCTAGAGGGCTTTGCCAAAAAATGGGTCAAGTCTTTCTCTGTGAGAAAAAGTTGACTCAAGAGGGGAAACACTTGCCCCAAAATAAATTTTGGGTTTCGGATTGGAATACATACTTTACTCAAAATGAATAGGGTTACCCCAAAATGCATAAATTACAGGTCAATTTTGCAAAGATTTGGGTCAAGTGTTCCACTCGAAGAAAAAAGAAAGACTTGACCCAAAATGAACAAAGTATTATTTTGCGAGGAGAACTTGGCCATAATGTGCACAGTTATTTTTTTTGAAATAAAGGCCAAAGACTGGTTTTTCCATAGAGAAACACTTGACTCAAAACTAATTTCCTTACCCCCTGATCCACAAATCTGTTGATTCCATCACTAATCAGCGGCTGTTCTCCACTTTCTCTGGCCTCTTTCACCGCCAAAACATTTCTCAAAAACCTCTGAACCGTCGTCAAACTGTAGTCATTACTGTAACAATCCTCGGCAAAGTTATACGGCTCCCATCCCTCCAAATGCCAGAAATCGACGTCCGCAATCTTGAAGATCTTCTGCGAACATTCGCTCTTTGTGGGGTCAGCAAACTCGATTGGATCCATTTTTCCCGTCGCATTTATTCGAATGTATTGGAAGAAATCGCAGAATGCAAACAATTGGCCGCTGCAACAATTGTCGCGAAGAAAATTGACGTCCGTTTTGTCGACCATTCCGCGATTTACCGCCAGATTTATGAAGGAGTTGACGTTGGTTTTGTAGGAATAAATCCCATTTCCAATGGCAAACCCAGCAAATTCAGCAGGGATTTTTGAGGGCTGAAAAAATGTAAGTCAAATTTTGAAGCTTAAAGTGCGAGGTTCCGTAAGCCAGCGCCCAAAGAAAGAGTGTTCCCGCTGCGGGACCCAACACGGCAGATCTCTCTTGCCAGAAAATAAAAAAATTGTTTTTTTGTTGTACAAAATGGATCAAACAATGTGAAAGATGGATGGAGATCAGTGAAGAAGGTATGTTTTATTGTGTTTTCTGATTTAGAGCAGCTCGACAAAAATTTTTACGAAATCTGGTCCAAGATTTTTTGTGTTTTGAGCGATTTTACGCAATTTTTGACATAACGAAGCATGAAAATAGGTGTAGTTTCCCAAAGAACCGTCCAGGAGCGCTGGTGATTGACTTTTGGTCAAGTTAGAGGCAAAACCTTCACCAAACTGCCTAGTATAATAAATTTTTTTCCAGGAATTCGAATCCAGATGCAGCCAGACGGCTAGACTTCACCACGAGGACTCGTTGAAGCCAGAAGAATGCTCGATATCGTCCAAAGTCAATGCTGCTTTGACCTTCCAACTTTTTCCGGGGCTGATGTCGCATCGAAAAGGTGAGAGTTTTGCTGTGCTTTCACGTTTTAGGCCTGGATGTCTTTGCTCCTTGAGCAAGGCAATGGGTGTTGCTTCGCAATGATGCTATCTGGAATGCGGTTGTTTCATCTTGCGTCACAGCAGACCTAATATATCCAGTGTAATACAATTTTTTTAGGCGATCACTCCCCCGACCGCGAAGTTTGGACTACGCGAAACATGTGGGACGTTATATGGACGATAAAGAAGGTCTTGCAGAGGACAAACACTGGAAAACATAATCAATTTATTGTAAAAATAGCAATAAATATTTTGATATTCGTATAAAGTATAATACCATTGATCTGGCTGTTGTTGAATCTGTAAGAGTGGGCTGCTAAGTCCTCCGGACCGGGCTGCCGACATGGTACTGAATGAGCTGGTACCCCTGAAAAAAATTGTATTACACTGGAATATTGGGTCTGATGTGGCGCAAGACGAAGCAACCGCATTCCAGATGGCATCATTGCGAAGAAACCCCATTGCCTTGCTCAAGGAGCAAAGACATCCAGGCCTAAAACGTGAAAGCAGAGCAAAACTCTCACCTTTTCGATGCGACATCAGCCTCGGAAACAGTTGGAAAGTCAAAGCAGCTTTGACTTTGGACGATATCGAGCATTCTTCTGGCTTCAACGAGTCCTCGTGGTGAAGTCTAGCCGTCTGGCTGCATCTGGATTCGAATTCCTGGAAAAAAATTATATTATACTAGGCAGTTTGGTGAAGGTTTTGCCTCTAACTTGACCAAAAGTCAATCACCAGCGCTCCTGGACGGTTCTTTGGGAAACTACACCTATTTTCATGCTTCGTTATGTCAAAAATTGCGTAAAATCGCTCAAAACACAAAAAATCTTGGACCAGATTTCGTAAAAATTTTTGTCGAGCTGCTCTAAATCAGAAAACACAATAAAACATACCTTCTTCACTGATCTCCATCCATCTTTCACATTGTTTGATCCATTTTGTACAACAAAAAAACAATTTTTTTATTTTCTGGCAAGAGAGATCTGCCGTGTTGGGTCCCGCAGCGGGAACACTCTTTCTTTGGGCGCTGGCTTACGGAACCTCGCACTTTAATGTTTGACAGTGCAAAATTTATGAAGTTTTTTTGCACTGTGCGCGGTTTTTTTCGAATTTTGGTTTTGCACTGTGCGATGAAAAAAGTATTTATTTTTTGCACTGTGCAGATCTTAAAAGGGGTTTTTTGCACTGTGCAAAATTTTCCCAATTTCTTTGCACTGTGCGCGGTTTTTTTCGAATTTTCGTTTTGCACTGTGCGATGAAAAAAGTATTTTTTTTTTGCACTGTGCAGATCTTAAAACAGCTTTTTTGCACTGTGCAAAATTTTCCCGATTTCTTTGCACTGTGCGCGGTTTTTTTCGAATTTTCGTTTTGCACTGTGCGATGAAAAAAGTATTTCTTTTTTGCACTGTGCAGATCTTAAAACAGCTTTTTTGCACTGTGCAAAATTTTCCCGATTTCTTTGCACTGTGCAATTCAAAAGAGTCTTTTTTGTCGTACAGTGCGGACTTTCAAAAAATTTTTCATAGTGCAAAATGTTCGAAAATTTTTGTTTTACACCGTGCAATCAAAAAAATCTTTTTATTTGCACAGTGCAGATCATCAAAATCCTGAATTCTTGTGCACTGTGCAAAAAAGATATTTTTTTTTATTTCTGCACGGTGCATTTTATTTACTTCAACCTGGTTTGTCGCACCGTGCAAACAAAAAGTCAGCTCTTGCACTGTGCAAAATTTGCGACAAAATTTCGACTGCACAGTGCAAAAAGAATCGAAGAAAAGTCCTTCGCACTGTGCAAATTTTAAAAAGTTCCAATTGCACTGTGCAAAACTTGCGACAAAATTTTGACTGCACAGTGCAAAAGAACCGAAGAAAAGCCTTTCGCACTGTGCAAATTTCACAAAATTCTTACTGCACAGTGCAAAAAAATATCTTTTATTTCTGCACTGTGCAGAAGTAAAAAAAATATTGCAAATATTGCACTGCTCTGAACAAATTATTTTGGGATAATTTTTCCATTCGCTCTCAGAAACAGTAAACTCACATTTTTCAAGATATTTCTGGCCAGGGTTGGGACATAAACTCCAGCATAAGACTGCCCAGCCAAGTACAACTTTTTGCTCTGGAAGGCTGGGAATCGCTTGAACCATTCGGAAAGGGCTTCCAAATTGTCTTCAGCGGTCTGAAAATTTAAAATCAATGGAAAAAAATGCAAAAAAAAAATAAAAAATTATATTATCCATGGCAAAAATTTTACATTTTTTTGGGAAAATGCTGCAAAACTGTAAATTCAAGAAAAGTATAGGCAAAAAATCACGTCATTTTGTTTTTGTGGCAACTCCTGCAAGATTTTTTTGCCAAAATCACAAAATTTTTGCTAGAAATTACAGAAAATTTACTTTTTTTTTTGCCGAAAAATTTATGAAATTTTAAATTTTGAGTTGTAAAATACGTATCGAGCTCGTTCTGTAATTACAATAACAATTTTTGCAAAAGAATCCATAAAAAATTAAAAAAATCAAAAAAAATCCATTTTTTCGTCGAAAAAACCTACTTCATCATCCGAATATGTATCATTGTTGCCAGTGGAGAACCCAACATTCTTTGGTGCTTCGAGAAACAGCACGTTCGCTAGCTGAAAATCGTTTTAAAAATAATTTTTATTCATAAAATGACCTTATTTTAGTTAAAAATTGATGATTCCCACCTTATTCCAGGCGTAGACGTTCTCGAAAAGCGTTTTCCCATCGGGATTCGGCCGGAATGGGCCGATCTCGGCCAAGGCTCCGCCCATGGAAGAGCATCCGGGACCGCCGTTCAGCCAGAGGACCACGGGATCCGTTGAGGGGCTGTGTTGGGACTCAAAGAACCTAAAAATTTTAATATTCCGATTTTTTAAATTAAATTTGATTTAATTTTTTTGAAATTTTGTTTTTTTTTTGTTTTTAAAATACGTTTATTTTAAAAATTTATTTAATTTTATAAGTGAAAAGTGAGTTTTTTTTAAAGTAAAAGTTAAAAACAAAAACACTTTTTAAATACGACAAGCCCCGCTAACGCGGGCCTTGACGTCGCTGTGCGCGCAAAGGTTGCCCTACGTGAAGTTGACTTGATCGCACAAAGGTTGCTGATCGCATGCACTACAGTTGATCGTCCAGGCCACGCTTCGCGTGGCCAACAACGCGCTGGCGCGCGTTATACTGCCTCAAGCCCGGCACTTCTGTTAGCTAAGGGCCGCGCGCCAGCGCTACCTTTCATAAGCTAACTTTGACCGATCAACTGTTTTTGGAACTTTGCCTCGGCCTTCGGCCTCGGCACAGTGCGCTGTAGCACTCTACAACAACATTCAGAAGGTTCCGTGACCGACGGCGGCCTTCGGCCGCCGAAGCTTCCAAAAAAAAGTCAGTTTGGCTCGGCCTTCGGCCTCGCACAAAGAAAGTTGCGTATAAGCAAAGAAATTTCCCAGCCTATCAATACTTTGGAGACGACTCTGTCAAAAAATCCAAAAGTTCCAATTTCCCCGCGCTTTGTGGAGGCAGTGCTCGCCCAGTTCGAAAGCGATTGGGCTGAAATTTGGCACGATGGAAGCTTACCGAATTTGCCAAAAATTGACCCGAGCCGAATTTTGAATTTCGAACTTTACTTGGCCTCAGGGCCAAATTTGTGTGAAAAATGCCAAAAATCGGCCCTCTGGCAACTGCGCAGCTACAGTGGGGCGACATCAGCAGCTGAAAATGGTTATGGATCTACTCCAGGCAAATACAAAGGCACAGCGAAGCTCTTTTCTGAATTTCGTCCCCCATTACGCGAATGAGGACTTGATATTACACTTGACACCTGACCATGGGGAAAAAATTCCAATTTTGGTCCGGACGGTCGTATTTTAGGAAATGAAAATGCTATCCGGTCCGATAATTCACGCTGATCACGATAGTCCAAGTCTCGATTCACGAAATTTGAATTTTGACGCCCTGAGGGGAAATGTCGAAATTTTCGAGATCCCGAAAATCGGGCTTTGTCCTTTACAATCTGACTTCCGGCACGATATCGGAATCTGAAAAAAATTGTGTAGCACGTCCATTCAATTGCTAACAGCAACACGCGGCCCTTTTTTTGAATTTCGACTACAGTTCCGAGAAAAAAAAATTTTCATGTTGTTCATGACACCTGCTCCACGGAAGAAAATTTTGAATACCTAAAATACGAAACGCTACTGCGGCGAGTGATACACGTTCCTAGGTCAACTCGTACATGCTGAATACGATGGAATACGCATAAATCCGAAAAATTTGAAGTCTGAGCCCTCAGGGCCGATTTAGTCAAAAAATCCGGGAAATCGGCCGTTGGCGGAAGACCTCGAGATTCAACGACGATCCCAGAATCCGAAAATAATGGAGAACATACTACAGTCTATTGCTAAGAACTATATAAAGCCCGATTTTTGAATTTCGACTTCAGTTCCGAGAAAAAAAAATTTTAATATTGTACATCAGATCTGACCTCGGACGAAAATTTGGGGCATGTAAAATACGAAACGCTACCGAAGCCAGTGATACACGTTCCTAGGTCAAGTCACACATGTTGAATCGAATGCCATCTTCAGAATTCCGAAATTCGGTCGATAACATGAAGTTTTGGTCGATTTTTCAAAATTCGAGTTTCGGTCGATTCTGCGCGGCCCTTTCGATCAGACTTCAGAAGCGATAACGGGACCTGAAAAAAATTCAGCGTGTAGCTGAATCGATTCCTAAGAACGACATTTTGCCCTTTTTTTGAATTTCGATCTAGTTTTCCCGGAAAAAATTCCGGAAAATTAGGCCTATTTTGGGAAATTTCGAAAAATCTCGAATGGCTAAAATACGAAATACGACAGGAAGATACGAAAGGTGGTTCTAGGGCATGTCAGGCATGCTGATTCAGAATCCGTTCTCAAAATCCAGAAATTCCGTCATCTTGACGGTGAAATCTGGAATATTCCGAAAAATCTCGAAAATCGGAAATAACTTTCGACCGGTCGATAATTGTAAATTATAAGTGGGCTTCAGAAGTCTTAGAAATTTGCGTAGAATAGGATGGAATCAAAAAAAAATCCGAAAATTCCATTATTTCGGGTACATATCCGGAGGGCATAGATATGCAAATTTCGAAAAAACGCAAAGTTTGGGCCCCATTCGGTGATGACAATAACCAAAAAGCTAAGGGCTACTGCAACAGTGTCAAAAGTTACGACCAAAAATCGATCAAAAAATCTCACTTTCAACAGGGCGCAGCTCGCGCAAAAAGCAAAATTTCAACTATCCGCTGATGCCAAAAGTCTTAGAATTTTGTGTAGCAACTTCACTAAAAAAATTTTTAAAAAAAGTCAACGTTGAGTATTTTTCATATTATTATCTTTAGAGGCTGGCGGATTTTTTTTGTAAAATACGATAGGATTTGTTTACACTTTTTGGCCATGCCATTTCCGTAGGGGAAATTATTGATTTTTCGTTGAAAAAATGCTATCTAATCATAAAATTTTTTATGGATAAGTTTGCAAAAAAAATGTGAAATTTGACCAACACATGGCTTAAAAATCTCAGTCGTTTATAATAACTAATAATCTCGAATATTTCTTTCAAAAAATCTATTTCAATTTGTGTCAAGTTTCATCGAAATTTCAGCTTCGCATTTCAAGCACTTCCACTGCAAATTTAAGCCCGATTTTGACAAATCTGAATGTGAGGGAAAATTTTTGCAAAGCTGTTAGTCTGTCGGGAAAATAATGAGCACAATGTTGTCATCATGTCGCTGAAGTGAAAAAAAAAATATTTATCTTTGACACAATTTATTTTCTCGGTGGCGATGCAATTTTCGATGTGACAGAATGCTCATTATTTTCCCGACAGAACGATATCCCCTTTATCTAATAGTAAATTTTTTTAAATTCCCTTTTTACGTAGAGATATACTCAACTGCGATCGGACGTATTTTACAATTCAAAGTTTTACGTTCTACAGCCTCTTTCACCACAACCTTTCGAAATATAATGTTATTACAGGGTGACAAATAAAAAATGCAACTTTTTTTCATGGGTCCTGCCGCGAAAACTTTTAGGTTTAGGAAAATATTGTTCATACCATTAAATTCTCCGTGTTTTTTTGTCCTAGCCTCTCAATTTTCATACCCATATCGGTTGATTAACATGTTTGTTTCGAGTCTCAAACAGAGGGACCCCGATTTTAAACCTGTCACGGAAAGAAAATGGACAGTAAAAGATTGCTAAATTGGTCGGTGTAGGAAAACCTCACATACGAAAAGCATCAAACGACTCAACGAGCTTGGCCATGGAATTAGAAGGAAGCGCATCTTGAAGACTTCTGCCAACCTTGAGATCATCAGAAAGCGAGTGAAGCAAAATCTGGTGGTGTCCATGAAGAAAATTGCCCGGCAGACCGGCATCAAGGGAACAACGGATCGACGAATGGTGATCAATGTACCGTAGAGCAAGTCTTACAAGCTCCAAAAAGCTTAGCGCCTCACGGAACACTAAGAGCAAGTACGGCTCAAAAAATGTTGAAAACTAAACCGTCGCGCAGCAGCTCAGCGATGAGAGAAGGTCCTGTTCGCGGATGAGGGAGCCGCTAATTGATCTCTGCGGTAAGAACGGAACCGATTTCCCCAAAAAAGCTTCGGCGAATCGGCCAAAATTTAAAGTCACGTTTTGAGCTCTATCTCGGGGCGAAGAACAGCCACCTTAAAACTGGCCGAGCATACTATTTACAATGCTCTATGTTACTGATATTCACCGTTACTTTGGTTAAGTTTGGTGTTTTAGACAAAATATGGCCATAAATATGAGTTGCGTTTTTTCTTTGTCACCCTGTATATCTATATATACATAACCTTGAATTATACGCATATTTCGTATTTTGCTCCCATTATTTGCCTTCTAGCCATCCTTCGAATTGAATGGAAGTTAATTGCCTTATCAGTCGGATGCGTTAATTTAAAGCAGCCTGTTAATTGAACAAATACAAGAGGCCGATAAGAACTTCAAACAATCCGAGTCATCATTATGAAATTGGACATGACTGATAACAAGTTTGGAGGGCTTTTAATGACCAATAAGACGTTAATAGGGAGTAACGGGGATTAGCGACGAACTGCAGGGTTCATTGCTGATTTATCAGCAAAAACTTGGCAGAGAAAAAGGAAAAAAACATTTTTTAATATTGTTTGAGCTCTGGTATTCAAAGACAAATTGCTCGAGGCACAGAGCTTGAATTTTCTTCAAAATTTCACCATATACTATACATGGGTCATAAAATAATCCCTCAAATTTTTAGCTTATGTTTTGCAATGGGAGCCGAGATATTCAACAAGCTTTGCAGACGAGAGACTACGGAAAATAAGGAGAGACGGCAGAGAAAAGAAAGAGATTTTAGCGGGATTTCTGAGGATTTTTTGAGGAAAAAATGATCTTTTTTGTTGGAAAAGAGAATTTCTTGTTGAATGTCAAATCGGCTGCCGACTTTTTGTTGGAAAAATTTCGAAAAATGCGAAATTTTCAAAATTTTTTACTGGAGAAGCCCTCGGATTTTACGTAGTGAAATTTGGCGACAATTGAAACAGGTTCTTTCTAAGACATATAGAGAAAAACCAGCTCGCGCTTAGCAGAAAAAACCGAGATTTTTTGTCCGAAAATTGGTCAAAATTTGGAAAAAATTTGGCGAAACAATTTTGTACCGAAGAGGGTGATATTTCCACAAAAAAAAATATTTTTTTCGAGAGAGAACTGGCAAAAACTTGGCCAAAAAGCCGTTCTTTTTCTCTGACGTGAGCTAGAATTTTCTGGAATCTATTTTTGCTCTATCCCCAAGGATAGATCAAAAATTGTAGCCTCGAATTTCAAACCCCTTTCGAAAATCGCATCGCCGCCGAGAAAATGAATTGCGTCGCGGCAAAAACAAATTCTTTCTTCCGCGACACGATCAGCTCAGCGACCTTGTGCCCATTATTTTCCCGACAGATCAATACAATGCATTAAAAACGATGACGTATTTTACCTCTTCTTTCTTTTTTTCAAGTTTTTTTACTCACCAATAATGCAATTTGCTTCCACTTGGAGTCGACAAATACCCACTGAAATGCCGATGAAGGTAATCGAAAGTCACTCCGGGAAGATCAATCACCTGGTCCGTATACAAACTATCTCCGTTTACATTGCAAAGTAAGCCCACAAGGAGTGCCACAGCGAATTTTAGCCTCATTTTGAGGGAGAAGTCCCTGAAAAAATTGTTTTGAAAAATCTCGTGTTAAGTCATCAATATTCCAAGTCAGATTGCTCGAGGCACAGAGCCCAGATGTTCCAAAAATGTGGCCCCACAGTCGACATACGCCACAAGTTAGTCTCTACAAAATTTAACTGATACTTCGCTGAAACAAAATAAAAAAAATGTCTTATGTAATAATAGTATACTGTGCTAATTAATAGAAAATTCTCGAGGCGCTAAGCACGGATTTTCTTCAAAATTTGTCGATAAACTATACATAGACCATAAAGTAATCCCTGAAATTTTTAGCTTTTGCTTTGCAACAGAAGCCGAGATATTCAACCATCTTTGGAAATGAGAGATTATGGAAAATGAGGAGAGACGGGAAGAGAAAAGAAAGCTTTTTGGCGATCTCATTGTGGATTTTTTTGAGAAAAAATTGATTTTTTTGCTGTAAAAGTGCACTAGCGATAATGATCAGTTTGAAATGTCGCTGGAGTGGTTTTGCGACATGCACTGTGCAAAAAAGTTAGGGAAACCCAAAAAGCCTATTGCACTGTGCAAAATGAAATTTTATTTTTTCTCACTGTAAATGTCGCCAAAATCACTCCAGCGACTACACAAACGTACCTTTTCAGTCTGTCGGGAAAATAATGAGCACAATTTCGCTGCGCAGATCGTGTCGCTGAATTGAAAAATAAAATTGATTTTACAGCGACACAGTTTACTTTCTCAGCGACGATGCGATTTTTGATGCAACAGAGTGCTCATTATTTTCCCGACAGACTGATAATAAGTACAGAAATCGAAGAAAAAATATTTTTTTTATTCAAAATTTCAAAAATTTTTTAAATTTTCAAAATTTGCGCCCTAAAAATCTCAATGATCTCTGCAAAGCAAAAGCTAAAAATTTCAAATATGTATCATATAGTCCTATTCTAAATTTGTTGCAAGTTGCAGCAGATTCCGAACATTCCTCTTTGAGCAATTCAACATCAATTTTAGTAGGGTCCACTGCTATAAAACAATACAAAAATCTTAATTAACGTCGCCCGAAAAGGAAGCCGTTTCGTCTCAAAAACAGTGGACGACAACTCTGAACAGGGACGGTCCAATTTGCTTCCTCCGATTATCAGTAATTTTTTTTTGATAAAAACTTTTTAATGGGGCAAAATGAAGCCTATCCTCCTAAACAAACGTTTGATACGACACACAAATGTGACGGATCTGACGAACCTACCCGACCAAGCCTTTATCGTAGTTCTTAAAAAGGTTACAGAAATCGCCAGAGGCAGTTTTACGTCAATCCAAACAAGATATAATTGTTTTATGGAGGCTATTTCAACACAACACTTTTTTGTCGGCAAATTTGAATTAGTAAACTTTAATGACTCAAAACCAAATACTGAATTGAACAGAAAAGGTCAGAAACACTCTTGTAAATCCCAGGACATTTCCGGGACGTTCCCTGCATTCAGTGCTTTATGTATTGTAATTGTTTACAAAGGTTTGGAAAAGTTCAAAAAATGATCGTCATGAGTAATATTGTTGGTGATTTTAAAAGGATATGTTGAATCTTCAGATTTCGAAGAGGTTTATTTTTGTTGAAAAGTCGTTGAACACAATTGAGCGTAAATTTTTTCATAAAAATTCAAAAATCAAAAATTCCCGCCGTTTTTGGCATTCTGTTACAAGGGCCAAAAACAGCCTAAAAACCATTTTACATGCAAAATGAAACCAATGACGAAAAAAGAAACAATCGGACATTTTTTTTGAGAAAAATTGCGCTCGTACTGGGCCAAACAATCTGATATTATACTAGGCACCAATGATAAAAAAAGATAATTAGAGATGTCGGAGTGAACCGACAAGACCCATACCATTCGAAATGGCACCAAATGAAATTTTAATATCTCAAGTTTCAACTTTTTTGCAGCAAAATTGCGCTCGTACTGGGCCAAACAATCTGATATTATACTAGGCACCAATGATAAAAAAAGATAATTAGAGATGTCGGAGTGAACCGACAAGACCCATACCATTCGAAATTGCACCAAATGAAATTTTAATATCTCAAGTTTCAACTTTTTTTTTTGAAAATTCCGTATAATCGTCGAAACTTACTGTTTAAATCCATCTTGCGCATTCTGAATCACTCTTCTGTCGTTCTTACATTACGTTGTGCCAGAGGGAAAGACTTGACGCATATGAGTCAAGTCTTTTGTTTGTCGGTTTGAATAAGATGAAAGATGTCATTTGAGGGAGAATGTCTGAAAAATTTGTTGAGAGAAGTTAGGGAGCTGAAATAAGAAATAATCGTTTACAATTGTGAATCTCATAGGAAATTTGGATAAAAATTTCAAAAAATTTTCTTTTTGAAAATTAAAAATCCTATTCTTTTGTTTTTGTTGAAAAATTCTGAGCCTCTGGTTGGCGTAGGATCTTCTGGTACTGTCAAAAATACGACACAGTCTGATTTTTTTCAAAGAATACGATATAACACAACGACTTGCAATCAAATTGCCTCAGGCAAATTGTCCATTTTTTTCAAATTTCGTCCTCTCTTGACCATACACAAACTCCTGAAAGTTTCACGCACAAATTTCTAAACATTTCTGCACATTTTTCTTCGTTGACATCAATTTTTCTCCGGAAGCACGCTTCAACCTGAACTCGGGTTCAATCCCCTCAAAATAGCCAATAACTCATAACATGAATCAGTCCGGGGACATAATCCAATAAAATCTCGGGCTGAACGGCTGACGGAAGTGGGGGTGGATGAGGTCAATGGCGAACAGCAGCTCTTCGGCGCCCTCAGGGCTTTTAATTTTTGCAGACTGCAAAGAAGCACTTTTTGACCCAAATAACTCAGTTTTCAGCTGATCCGAAAGTGTTGTCTGATTTTTTTATTTTTTTAAAAGTTTGCACTGTGCAAAAAAAAATAAATTTTATCGCACAGTGCAGAAAAAATTTTTTTGATTTCTGCACGGTGCGGTCCAATTTTTTGGTTTTTTGGTTAAAAGTTGTGTTTGTTTTTTAAAATTAGGTGCAAAATTAAGATTTTTAAAACATTTGCGATGCTCTAAATTGAGCTACAAAACGTTTTTTTTTTTTAAAACTGAAAAAAATCACTTAAAAAATTTTTTTTATTTTGGTCGTATAAAATGCCCCTGTAAAAAATGTATTACAGACTTTTTTTGAAGGTAAAATACGAGTTGGCGGTCCAATTCTTTCAGTGATAAAATTCCTTCGGCACAGTGCAGATGAAAATTTTCGAATTTTGCTCGATGCGCTTTAATTTTTTTCGAGATTTTTTTTATTTTGAAGATTTTGCTACGGATTTGCAATTTTTAAAATACTAGTAGTGCTGTAATTTAAATTTTAGATATATTTTTTATGCTAAAAATCCAAAAATACAAAAAAATTTTTTATCGTATAAAGTGTCTCCTATAAGAAAGTTCAGTAAAAAAAAATTTTTGAAGGTAAAATACGGAGTTGCAAGATGTTATATAAAGTTTTAGCTCACTCTTTGTTTTTTCCAAAAAATTTTTGCAATATTAATTTAGGTTCACTCAACTTCAAAGCAAAGGCAATTCGACCGTTTGACGAGTAATTGGGAAAACTCGTACGGGTCAAACATTCTTCTCGGTTATACTTTTTGTCCCAAAACAACTGATCCCCACCCCCGACAGTTTCAGGTCCTCTCCGGCTGTTTCGTTCGGGCCAAATTAAAGTTTTGAGTTATTTTTTGGGGCGTGGGAGAAATTTGTGACTCGCTTTGTAATGCTTTATTGCCTTTGGAAAGGTCGGAGAGCCAAAAATTTTCGAAATTTTTGTTTGCACGGTGCAAAATTTTGAAATTGGTTTTGCACTGTGCGAAGAAAACAAAAAAATGTTTTCTTACACTTTTATGAACTCCCAGTGGCTCAAGGATAATATTTCTGGCGTTATAACCATCCATGTTATCACAGGGAATTCAAATGTAACCCATTTCTTATATGCACAGTGCAAAATTTCAAAGTTTTTAAAATCCGCACTGTGCAGAAAAATTTTTGGAATTTCGAAAAATTTGGAAGCCCTTAGGGTCTAAGACATGGCTCGGTATCATTTTTATTCTTTTATACAACTTGCTTTTATAAAAATTTTCAGATCATTTTGACTGCACAGTGCAAAACAAAAAATCGCCTAAATTTCGCACTGTGCGGGGAAATTTTTGAAATTTCGAAAAATTTAGAAGCCCTTAGGGTCTAAGGCGTGGCTCGGTATCATTTTTATTCTTTTATACAACTTGCTTTCATCAGAATTTTCAACTCGTTTTGACTGCACCGTGCAAAAGAAATCATCTAATTTTCGCACTGTGCGGGGAAAATTTGTTGTTTTTTCTTGTTGAACAATAACTTCTCGTGATCACAAAATATATTTTTTTTGCAAGGAAACAATATTTTCCTTATAAAAAAATTTTTTGAATGGTAAAAACATTGCACTGTGCAAAATAAAAAAAATCGGTCAAAAGTCATTTTTTGCACAGTGCATTTTTTCCATTCCTTCTTTTTCTTAAAAAATTTGGCCATATGAAAGTCTCGTTTGTCTCAGACTCTTGTCTCAGTCGTTTTTAATAAAAAGACACTAGGATTTTTCCAATTTACGTCTGGAATTTTTTAAATTTTCATTTTCAAAATTTTTTCACAATGCAACCGAGAAAAAAGATATTTAGACATTTCGTATTTTACAAAATTAAATTTGTAAACCATTTTTAAAAACACTTCGACGTATTTTACCCAATTTTAACTCTTCTATTTTCGATTTTTTTTTCTTTTTCCGCACCGTGCAAAATCCTTGATTTTTTGCACTGTGCAAAAAAAATTTTTTCAAAAATTCCTTTGTAAAACCCCCTGTATAAAAGTGCAGTGGCTTTCAGAATGCTTCAGGAGTTTGAGACATTCTCGAAATGTCAAACCAAAGTGATGAAATGCCCCTCAAAGCGGTGGTTGGGAAGGGGAAAAGTCGAAAAGAATCGAAAAGAACTCGGATTTTAGAGTTCATAAAAACAAATACTACATCATTTGGACGGCCTTTCTGACGTATTTTCGATTTTGGATTGTCTCAAAAAAATTTTGAAGATTTTTTTCAAAACGGGATTCTTTGGTTTTTGTCTACTACAATATAAAAATTTCAACATTTTTTTGATTCCGAATCTTGTGACCTCATATTTATGTCTGAAGGCCAAGAATTTTTTTTGAGATTAAATCTGTGTGCCCTCAGGCAAGGAGAGAGGATTAAAAAGCAAAAAATCGGATCTCATGTCTAATTAAAAAGTCAAACGTCAAGACAAAAAGTGGCGGGGACTTCTCGTTTTGATTATCAATCCCCTTTCTGTTCGATTTTCCTAGTGATTTTTCCAAGTGATTTTGCACAGGGTGGTTTTTTTAACCGCACGGTGCGATTTTTTGGAAATTTTGCACTGTGCAGGTAAAAATTATGGAAATTTTCGTGGCTTTCATGCAAAATTTTTTTTAATTTTACTGCGATCACACGTATTAGGGACTATTTTACCCCTTTCCCAAGAAGAAGCATGCTTTTTGCATTGCACTGTGCATTTTTTTGAGTCTTGATTTTTTGCACTGTGCGATAAAAAAATTTGTCAAAAATTACGTTATAACATGCAAAAATTTTTGTCGATTCTTTGTTTATCGCATTTATCAGATCTTATTTTATCACCGAGTCCATAATAAATAATCGTTTTTTTGTTTTGCACAGTGCCGTTTTTTGGGTTTTGAAAAAATTGCACCGCGCAGTCAAAAAATCACTTTTTTAATGCATTTTTATTAAAATGTTGGCTCCAAATTTTGTGTACTTTTGGCCGTAAATCTTTTTTTTAACTTTCTTATCGCTATTTTTGTAAATTTTTCCTTTTGCACAGTGCAATTTCCATAAAAAATTTTCGCACTGTGCAGATTCATTTTTTTGATATTTCTTTGCACTGTGCAATCATAAATGAATTGGTTTTTTCAACCGTTTTCTAATTTCAGAACAGTCAACTCGGGTCCCAAAAAAATCTTCCCACTGCCAACCTCTTCATCTTGGAGATCAAATTATATTACACTTGACATTAATTCTCATTTTCAACGAATGTGGAGGTGATCCCAGATTTGTCTCGGTGTTTTTTACTGTTAACACAATGACAATTTCGTTGAAGTTGCCGAAACGTCGAGATCGCTCTCCTTCGATCGGAAGGAGACTCATTTTCGACGATCCATCTGGTCCGGGGTAAGTTCCGAAAAACTTTAAAAATTAGAAAGCCTTAGGGAAAATCATAAAAAAAACTTTATTGTAAAGAAGAACTGTTAGATACATGAACCGTATTTTACAACCTTACCAAGTTTTTTCGCAAAAATCTTTGTTGAAATCTCCAAAAATCCCTCAAAACGCCTCATTTTTGAAGAAAATCATTTTTTTCCGACTTCAAATGAACTTTTAAAACTACACCCCTCAGGGAGGCAAGTAATCATTCCAAATTTTCAAAAAATCTAAAGAATCTAGGAAATGCCCTTAGGTGCTGACCACTTAATCCTTCTTTTTCTTGTCATTGTCCATCAAAATCGGGGCTTTTGATGGCCTGCCCATTAAATCTTTGAGACAAAACTAGTACGATTTTTAACTGATAGTTGAAGGGATCAGAGTTCGGAGACTGGTCAGTCCTGAAATTTCAAGTTTTTTCTGTGATTTCAGGGCATTTTTTAAAGAACTTTATTAACTCTAATTTTAACATTTTTTCCATAACTCACGTTTTTCGCCCATAAAATCAAAGATTTCTAAAAGAAAATTGTTGTTCATGCTCATGACTTATGCTCCAGAGCTAAGTTAAATAAAAAATTACGTTTTTCATCCATAATTATTAAATCCATAAAATTTAACGCTTTTCGTCCATAACTCACGTTTTTCGCACATAAAATAATGGATTTATAGAAGAAATCTATTTTTCATGCTGATAACTTACGCTCCACACCAAGGTTGCATAAAAAAACTACGTTTTTCCTCCATAAATCGCATATTCATAAAAGTTGACGTTTTTTTCTCCATAACTCACGTTTTTCGTCCATAAAATCCAAATTTTTCTCATTTTCAAAACAATCATGGATGTTCAAGCCAACGCGAGTTTTTACGTTTTTATTTGTAACTTCCGTTTTCATAAAACTTAACGCTCTTCTTCCATAAGCTTTGTCGTATTTTTGACCGAAATTTTTCGAAATTTTGCAAAACCCCCTCACGTAAAACACGTTCAAGTGGACAGCTGACCATCCCCGCTTGTTTTTGAGGCCCCAAGTCCATTAAATTTACGACCGAATCCAAAGAGGACTCTGCTTTGCATTAAACTTTTCGCGGACTTGTTTGTTATCCTGCAAACACTTGTATATTTATTTCAACGGCTTTACAGCGAAGATGCTGTGGCTTTTCCGGCGGCAAAAGGTTGGCTATGGCAGGCTGGACAAGACTTATTTACTGGGCGATACACAAAGGTAGACAAAAGTCATATATCTTATATCTACGGGTTCGGACGGGGTATATACCCAAATACCCGAGAGGCCGGGAATTTTCGGGTATTTATGGGTATATTCAAAGTAATTCTGCATTCAAAAAGTGTAAAAAAAGTCGAGTTTTGTCACAAAAAATCAATAAATGTTGACATTTTGCCATAATTTGTTTTTTGCCTCTCAAAGCTTGGTTCGAAGGTCGAAATTTACTTTGCCGGAGTAGTGAAATAAACGGGAAAAAATTCAAAATCTGACTGCCAAATATTGGATTGCTAAACTTTTTGCTTGTTGAAGTACTAATTTTGTTTGTAGTAGTTGGGAAAATAGAGAATATCACTCCAAACATGATTAGGTTAATGAATAACTTGCGACTTATTCATTAACGACTTCATATTGGTACTATTAGGTTGTTCAAAATGCGATGTCGGATTTTATCCTTTAACTTTAAAACACCATAACTTTTTTTATAATAAACTTTATTAATCGAAATAAGAACCATTGGAATCAACACACTTTTGCCAACGAGATAGAAGTTTATTTATGCCGGTAGCGTAAAAATCCCGAGTTCTGGAGGCGATAAAGTCGGCGAAGGCGGTTTTGGCGTCGTCTTGGTTTTTGAAGCATTTCTCCTGCAAGAAGTTGTCCAGATGCTTGAAAAAGTGGTAGTCGGTGGGCGAGAGGTCGGGCGAGTATGCTAATTTAGGATAATTTTATAAATACCCGAATATACCCGAGATTTCGGGAATATACCCGGGTATATACCCGGTGGTGAATATACCCGAATATTCCGAACTCTACGTGCGACGTATTTTACAAAAAAAGAATTAACTATTACAACTAGGCTTGGGGCTAAGGTAGTACAGCCCCCCAGTCCAGTTTAGCCCCCCATGACCCAGTACAACCCCCCTCGTCCATTCTGAACCTCAAAATTTATTTCAAAAAATTAATCCAAGTTGTATGGTCCAGCACAAACCCCCCTCGTTTTAGATGCAGCCCCCTACGTTTTAGATCAAGCCCCCTACGTTTTAGAAAAAGCCCCCTACGTTTTATATCGAACCCCCAACGTAGTAGATCAAGCCCCCACTTACATTTTTTGTAATATTCTAATTTGTTCATTACTAATTATACCACTGTTTTGCCCGGGTGTGAAACGGGCAAAACAGTGGGGGTTTGAACTACCTTTCGTGGGGGGCTGAACTACCGAAGCCCCCTAGGCTTTTCAAACTTTATAGTACAAGTAGAGTATGTTTTTCACAAGAAAATACTTTTTAATTTACAGTAACCAGCTGGAATGGGCGCCGCCGGTCCGAGTGGTCGCCGTGATCACATTGTTCGCTTCAACCTTGGATTTATTCGCTGATTTCCTCCTCTGCAGTCGGTAAGTCGCTTCTCACTTTAGAGTAAAATACGAGGTACAACATTTTCATCAAAAATAGCTGATTTTTCCTCCGAAACTCCCCTCGGATTTTCCTCAATTTTTCGTTTGGAAAGATTGATGAATATCTCGGTGGAACTTGTAAAATACGGATGTGAATTTCTAGATAATAATTTATGGCTAATATAGAGGATGTTTGCCAAATTTCACAAAAATCGTCCTTTATTGCTTCGAGAAAAATAACTTTTAACGACGAAAAGATTTCACTTCAAAAAAATGTTTTGACGGAAGAATGACATAACAATAAAGTTTTAGGGTAAAATACGGAGTACCCTTTTATTATTTATCTTTTGGTAAGATTTTGATGTCTTTTTGTCACGAAAACCTTAGAAATTTTGTTACTAATCATCGATAGCAAAAAGAATTAATTTTTATTTATTTATTTTTTTGATAGAAAATAATGTATTTTATCAAAATATTTTCAAAAATGGATAAAGCCGCAAAAAAATGTGTAAAAAAATTGGTTTAAAATATATTAAAATATTTAGGTTACTTTATGATAAAGTTTGGTAACTTTTATAAGAATAGCATATATGCAGAAAAATTCCTCTTAAAATTTATTACTATATACTTTTTTCCATTTTTGAATTGGAAGCTATCTTATAAAAAATACGAATATATTTAAAAAACCGCAATTCTTTTTGCAGCAACCTAAGTGCAGCTCTTGCCCTAAAATTTTCACTATTTGATTTCTGGCCCACATAGAGCACATTTGCCAAATTTGAAGAAAATACAACGGTATTGCCTTGAGCAATTCACTTTTTTAAGCAAAAAAAGTTTTCATCGTATAAAATGTCTCCGTCCGAGACAAATCTGAAATCTGAACTTTTGGGGTAAAATACGGATTCGCGAAGCTATTTTATTTTTTCAAGCAATTTTACACATCAATTTTTGGCAGTATTATTTTACAGTATACTTAAAAAAAATGTTATTTTTTTCTCAAATTTAATTTTCAGCCTAGCCGAGTTCCTGGCCAACTTCCAGACCGAGACTGCCAAGAATTGCGCGTACGGTTACTTTTTCTTCACCGGCGTCTCCATGCTGGTCTACGTCTTCGAGATGGTTGATGTCTGTTTGACCCTAAAACATGACGAAGAAGATGTTTTCTTCGCTCGGCTCGCCAAATCGTTGGTTCTTTGTTGTGAGGAGGTCCCATTGCCTGCTCTGTTGTATGTATTGTTCACAACTGAGCCAAGATTATCGTTGGCAGACCCGGTTCACATTGCCTCGTGGATCAAACTGATTACTTTGAGCTGGGGAATTGTAAAGTTCAGCAAATTGAGGTTTTTCTGGCCATTTTTGGTGTGCAATCCGAAACATGAGCGACGGTAAGTAGTCATTTTTAAGGATTGAAATTTTTATTTTTTCAAAAATTTGGAAAATTATTTTTTGCACAGTGCAGATTTTCGAAGCCAATTTTTTTGCACGGTGCAAATTTTTTACAGCTGTTGCACCGTGCGCATATTTCAAAATATATTTTTTTTGCACTGTGCAATTTTCTTTTTTTTCAATAACTCTTTTGCACAGTGCAGACCCAACAAAGATTTTTCTGCACAATGTAAATTTTTTTACAGCTTCCGCACAGTGATGTTTAAAAATATCTTCTTTGCACAGTGCAATTCTTTAATTTTTCTGCACAGTGCTGTTTTTTCACTCAAAAACTTTTTCGCACAGTGCAGATCAAAAATTTTTTGCACAGTGCGTTTTTCGGAAATTTATTTTTGCACCGTGCAGATTTTTTATCAAAAAACTCTTTCGCACAGTGCGGATTTATCAAAAATTTTTTTGCACAGTGCAGTTTTCTTTATTTTTTCTTTGCACAGTGCAATTTTTTCGGACATTTCTTTGCACTGTGCAGATTTTTTACTAATGTGAAAAAAATTGTTTGCACTGTTCTGGAGATTAATTTTTATAACAAAAGTTAAAATCGCAACTTTTTTATCAAAATTTTTTTAGAGAAAACATCCGTCGGATGTTCAACTTCACCCTGTATCGATGTGCCATGGTCTTCGTCAACATTTGTCACTTTCTAGCCATTTTCATCGTCATCAACAATTTGATTGCCTCGGGCAAAGGCGGCAAGCCAATCACTGCGCGGCATTGAACATCTCTGTTGAACTGTTATAATTTCCGTGCCATTTACTTATGGGTTTCGTTGCAAATCTTTCACGAATCGAAATGTAATTGTAATGTTGTTGTAAAAAATGTCGTTTAAAGTGCAAAGTGACTAAAATTGTGTGTTTTATTAAACTTTTACTACATAGTTGGCGCAGGAATTCGTGAGACTTTTATGCACCGTGCAAGTTGTTTCATTGCACCGTGCTTTTTCCATTTTTACGTGAAGAACTTTGTCGCGTCTTCAGATAGGCGAAATGCTTTGATTGCGACAAAAAATGGAGGAAAGCGGCCCTGTGCTGAGTTTTTTTACAAGGAAAGTACTTCTATGGGGTATAGAGTTACAGATCGAGATATGTATCAAAAAAATTGCAAAGTTTTCCTGATTCACAATATATAAAAATGTTCTGCCTAATTTTGATTTGTAAGGGTGAAAATCCCCTCAGAACTTTTCCCGAAACACCAAATGCCCTTTTGACAATGTTTTAGCCAATTCAAAAAATTTGTTTTGAGCTAAAATAAACCCTGGCGGCATGACAAGCCTTAAAATATCAAATTTGATTAAGACTACTCCTTAATAGTAGTTTCAATGCACGGCAACCCACAGAGTCTCCCTCCTCGTTTCGGCACATCGCACACCCAGTACTATATCGTTCAAATTCACGCGAAATGTCACAACAGAATTTTTCGTGTTGTTTTTGGATGGAAAAATATTTTTCTCGAAATTATTTTATTGCTTTTGTCAGTTGTGACACTTCGTTTGGACGAAACTCAAAAGTGGGCGGCAGACATTTTTGTTTTATTTCGGTTTGTCGTGCAATATAAAAAAAGAGTTCTGCGCCAAAAAGGACCGAACCCATGGGCAGCCTTTCCCATCCGATTCTCAGTCTAGCGCACGTCAAACTGAGGTGTCGGGTGACCGGAATAGACTCTTCGCTATCGGTTTTTTACACTTCGTCTTGATTTCCAGAGAAAGAGAGAAAAAAGACACGCAAGAGCGTACTCTCTCGCCCCAAAAATTCCCCATTTCTTCCCCGAGAAAACGTTTTTTCGCGTCTTTTTTTGGCAAATTTCCAATCCATTCACCGGACTGTTTTAGCTTATCTCAGTTTGACGTGTAGCGCTCTAACCACTCTGCCACATCGTTTCTTGTTGTTCCAATAACGATTGGAATAATTAGTGTAGTTTCGTACGCGTTTTGCAGAGACAACTAAGATTTCTAGTTCAAAAATTAGCAATTTTCACGCATTTCTTAGTTTAGGCATGCAAAATCCCTAGCGTTATTTCCATAATTTTTGGGTCCGTTGTACCCCTCCATTGCTTTTTTGGCCTTTTTTCTTGGCTTGGATTAATTCTCGCGCACCTCGCATGAAATATTATAATTACGGGGTTTAATCCCACATTTTTCTCATGCTGACGCCCCACTCCGGCGTTTCATTTGGCAAATGCACTCGCATTATAATGTATGTTATGATAGGCCGTATTGCTTCGAAGGGTTGTTGAGTCTTGTCCATAATGAAGATAATGGAATGTATTTAGAGAATTTTATAAAGGGTTCAAGATTTAATTTTTGTAGTTTTCAAAAGAATGCGAGAGACTGTGAAAAGAGGGGAGGGCTGTCCGAAAAATGGTTTTTGGCTGTAATTTTTGTGAATTATTCGAGGGAAAAGGCTGATTTTTTTTGTAGGAGAGTTTCGCAAAGCCATGCTGAATCAAAGAATACCGATTTTTTGTCCGAAAAATTACAAAAGAAAATCAAATTTTCGAAATTTTTTTTGTAACGCTAAAAATTTTACAGGTAATGGAGTATATTACCATCCAAATTTCGGCAAATTTTTATCAAAATCGACAGCAAAATTAACCATTTTTAGTATTTTTGTATCACTTTTTTTGGCACAGTGCAGATTTTTCAATTTTTTTTTCTGCACTGTGCAAAAAAATTGGGTCAGAAAAATATGAAAAAATCTAATAGGGTAGAGTGTTTGAAGTACGACGCTCACATTTTTTATACAGGGTGCGGCAATTTTTCGGCCGGATTTTAATTGGCCATAACTTTTTTAGTTTTTGGGCAAATGTTAAAATTCTTTTTTCCCTGAATCCATAGACAACCCCATTTTGTTTAATACCAAATATGTTATACCCGTTCATTAGACTACAGTAAAAATTCGAGACAAAGAAAAAGCTCTAATTTTCATAGCTGACAATGGAATTACCCCTAGTGCGACTCTCAGATTTTCTTTAAATTTTGCACATGGGCCGCACATAGGCCACACATCAATTCCTGAAAGTTTCAGCCCGCACCTTTCAGGGGCGACCAAGATATTCAACGATTCTTTGCGGTCAGGAGGGCACATGAGTGGTCATACAGAAAAACTTTTTGGCTAGATCTTCGCTAGTTTTGTGCGGAGATAGCTGATTTTTTGTGGAAACGGTATTCTCCATGGCATGAACAGGCATGAAACTTTTTACGACAAAATTCGTAAAAAAAGTCATTTTTTCTGGCGATTTTCAGACACGCCGAAAAAGCAGAGAAAACGACCGAAATGCCAATAACTGTGAACTAGGTCCCTGTATATATAGCATATTTGGTATTAAACAAAATGGGGTTGTCTGAGGATTCAGGGAAAAAAAGAATTTTAACATTCGGATAAAAACTAAAAAAGTTATAGCCAATTCAAATCCGGCCGAAAAATTGCCGCACCCTGTAAATTTTGCTCATGCGTCAGTCATGGGTCGCATATTAAAGCCTGCAAATTTTAGCTCGCCTTAGAGAAGGGCGGCTGAGATATTCAATGATCTTTGAGAGGCCAGAGAGTACGCGAAAAGCGGAGTGCGGACAGAAAAATACTTTATTGGCCATATCTTGGCCTGCTAACAGTGGAAGTACTCCAAGTGCGACGCTCAGATTTTGATGAAACTTGGCACAAATTGAGAATAATTTTTTCTAAGATATATGCGAGAATCCTAGCTGGCGCTTTGCAGAAATAACCGAGATTTTTAGATCAAAAGTCGGCAAAAATTTAGGACTTTTTGCCGAATTTCGGCATGAAAAGTTTCATGCCTATTTCTACCGTAAAGGATAATGTTTCTACAAAAACTAAAATTTTTCCGCACGAAACTGCCAAAGTTATGGCCAAAAAGCGCTTTTCTCTCTGACCGCTCTCCACGTTTAGCGTGCTCTCTCGGCGGCAAAAATCGTTCGATATCTCGGCGGCTCCCGTAAAGCGCAAGCTAAAACTTTCAGGAATTGATATTTAGTCCATGCCCGACGTGTGTGCAAAATTTAAAGAAAATCTGAGCGTCGCACTTGGAGTACTTCCCCTGTAAGTAAGAAAAAAATGTATATTTTTATGGTAATATTTCTCTCCACAGTAGAAATGGGTATGAAACTTTTTTTCCTAAACTTGGCTAAAAAGTGCTGTATTTTGGCCAAGTTTCGATAGTTAGAAGTCTCGCATATGTTTCTCAAAAAATTGCCGTAAATTTGCGCCAATTTTCATAAAAGTCTGAGCGCCGCACTTAGAGTACTTTCCCTGTAAATAAGATTTCTTTTCTTAATCTTTTCCAGTTTTTCCCTTTTCCACAATCTTCATATTACACTTGACACTCCGCTAATCCTCTTCCTCAAAAAATTTATAATTCCACAACCAGCCATAAAGTTGATCGATTTACGGCTTCGGGGATTTGAAACAGGAAGTCCGACGGGGATTACGCGCGGATATCGCTTCTAATCTGTTTGTTTATCCCGACTTTTATCCTTAATCGGAATTCCCCAGCCCAGAATCTCTCGCCGACTTTTCGGGTCATTGCGCTCGTCTCGCCGCGGCCCTTATTAGGCCAATATTTGGGTCGCGATCTTCGTTAATCTGCAACTGTTTCTTGCGCACTTCAAATTGGCGTTTTTAGGGGCCGAGAAGTGACGCTTTTATTTACGATATTATAATATTTTTGGGGATGTGAGGGGGTGAAAAGTTTATTTTTGAAATTTTTTTTGTTGCACTGTGCAAAAAAGGAGAGAAAATCAGCTGCACTGTGCAAAAAAAAGAAGGGGAAATTGTTGCATTATGCAAAATTAGGAGTAAGAATAGACCTTGTGAGACAAAAAATCTCAATTTTCTAAATGAAAAAAAAATCAAAAAATCTCAAAAAAAAAATTTTTTTTCGCACTGTGCAAAAAAAGGAAAAATCTTTTGCACTGTGCGAAAAAAACGAAAAACTTTTGCACTGTGCAAAATTAAGGGTAAAAATTTGACATTATAAGACAAAAAATCTCAAATTTCTATGAGAAAAAAAAAAATAAAAAAAAAAAAAAAAAAAAAAAATTTTGGTCAAAAAAATTTGCACTGTGCAAAACACCGAAAAATCGTTCGCACAGTGCATAAAAAAGCCTTTTCTTTCGTTTTTTCTCTCTGGAATTTTGCGACAAACAAATCGCAAAAAATTACGAACGATTTCTTCTTGCACCGTGCAAAAACAAGGCAAAATCTTATGCACAGTGCACATGGAAATCCATTTCTTTTTCTTTCTCATCGCCATTTTTGTGATAAAAAACTGCACTGTGCGGTTTTCACGGGCTTTTTCACAGGTTTCTTTGCACTGTGCAAAGTCTCAAACATTGATTTGAATTTTGATTTTTTTGTTGTGGCAAACTCCAAAGAAGAGTGAGAAATGTGTGCACAGTGCGAGTGAAGATAGATTTTTTGCACGCTGTAAAACTTTTCATGCAAAATTTGCAAAAAAATTGTTGCATTTTGCCAAATCTCCGACAAAAAATCTCGGTGGTTCATTTGATTGCAAAGCTGGGGGTGTCTCATATGTTTTAGAAAAGCTGATTCTAAATTTTTGGCAAGCTTTTATCAAAATCTGAGCGTCGCAATTCGGGTATCTTCCCTGTAAATCTGACAAAAAACATTTTTGATTTTTTTGTCGCAAAACGGAATTTTTCGTTGAAACTTTTTTCCGTATTTTTTCTCCAACAACACCTCATTC